TTAAAGTCCTTTTGCCTATACTATGGGCGTCCACCACTCGAACTCGTTGGATGCAACGTGTTCGATGGGTGGGTAGCGCTCTTAGCGAAGGGGTGCACCCTGCCTGGGCCTAGAGCCTTAAACAGGCGGGGTGGGTGGTATGTAGCGTCGGGCGTAAGCCCAGGTGGCCTAAGAACCTCCGTTGCCAGCTGATATTAGCAGTGGACGAATGTTTGAGTCATATTTTCTCAATTTTGCTTTTCAGTATTTGCTCTTCAAGCATAATTTAAAGCTCCCCTTTAGTCATATTGCTAGATCAGGATTTTCTATTTTAATTAGTGTTGCGAAAAATTTCCAGCGCGAGAGTAACTATGACGATGCACTTACTAGTATTCAGTGGGAATCCTTTTGGTTTTTAAACTCAATGTTTTATTTAATTAATCAAATTAGTTACAAGGATTCCGCGGCATAAGACCGTGAACACCATCTCTGGGAGATATACCCATGCATTACTAGGCCTTTCAAGGCGCAGTTTAGAATGTGGCGCACATCCATATGTTCCATTTAATAAACTGCAGTCCTTTTGTCTATACTATGGGCGTCCGTCAATCTGACACGTTGGATGCAACGTGTTGGACGGGCGGGTAGCGCTCTTAGCGAAGGGGTGCACCCTGTTCTAGGCGGGGTGGGTGGTATGTAGCGTCGGGCGTAAGTCCAGGGGGCCCGAAAACCTCCGTTGCCAGCTGATATTAGAAGTGCACCATTTTTGCGTCATAGTTGCTCTATTTTGCTTTTCAGTATTTGCTTTTCAAGCATTATAGAAAGCTCTTCGATCATACTTCAAATTCATTCTGTCACGTTCACGGTTCTCGACCCTAAACACTCATCATTCGCACTTCAGCCTCACGAACTCTATCACATAATCATTTATCCACCCGCATACCCTTGTGTAGTGAAATATTACCCCATTAGGATTTTCAAGTTAAAGTAGTGTTGCGAAAAATTTTCAACGCGAGAGTAAATATTACCCCGTAAGGATTTTCAAGTTTAAGTAGTGTTGCGAAAAATTTTCAATGCGAGAGTAAATATTACCCCGTAAGGATTTTCAAGTTTAAGTAGTGTTGCGAAAAATTTTCAACGCGAGAGTAAATATTACTCGGTTAGAATTTTCAAGTTTAAGTAGTGTTGCGAAAAATTTCCGGCGCGAAAGTAAATATGACTATACACTGACTAGTATTCGGTGGGAATCCTTTTGGTTTTTATATGATAAAATTAGTTACAAGGATTCCGCGGCATAAGACCGTGAACACCACCTCATGGGAGATAAAACCATGCATTACTAGGCCTTTTCAGGCACAGCCATAGAGTACGGAACATTTAAGTATGTTGCAACCCATACGCTAAGCTGTCTTAAAGTCCTTTTGCCTATACTATGGGCGTCCACCACTCGAACTCGTTGGATGCAACGTGTTCGATGGGTGGGTAGCGCTCTTAGCGAAGGGGTGCACCCTGCCTGGGCCTAGAGCCTTAAACAGGCGGGGTGGGTGGTATGTAGCGTCGGGCGTAAGTCCAGGGGGCCTAAGAACCTCCGTTGCCAGCTGATATTAGCAGTGGACGAATGTTTGAGTCATATTTTCTCAATTTTGCTTTTCAGTATTTGCTCTTCAAGCATAATTTAAAGCTCCCCTTTAGTCATGTTGCTAGATGAGGATTTTCTATTTTAATTAGTGTTGCGAAAAATTTCCAGCGCGAGAGTAACTATGACGATGCACTTACTAGTATTCAGTGGGAATCCTTTTGGTTTTTAAACTCAATGTTTTATTTAATTAATCAAATTAGTTACAAGGATTCCGCGGCATAAGACCGTGAACACCATCTCATGGGAGATAAAACCATGCATTACTAGGCCTTTCAAGGCGCAGTTTAGAATGTGGCGCACATCCATATGTTCCATTTAATAAACTGCAGTCCTTTTGCCTATACTAGGGGCGTCCGTCAATCTGACACGTTGGATGCAACGTGTTGGACGGGCGGGTAGCGCTCTTAGCGAAGGGGTGCATCCTTTCCTAGGCGGGGTGGGTGGTATGTAGCGTCGGGCGTAAGTCCAGGGGGCCCGAAAACCTCCGTTGCCAGCTGATATTAGAAGTGCACCGTTTTTGCGTCATAGTTGCTCTATTTTGCTTTTCAGTATTTGCTCTTCAAGCATTATAGAAAGCTCTTCGTTCATATTTCAAATTCATTCTGTCACGTTCACGGTTCTCGATCCTAAACACTCATCATTCACACTCATCATTCATCAGTATAGTGAAATATTAGCTCGTTAGATGTTTATGTACTAGTCATGTTTTTAGATCAGGATTTTCTATTTTAATTAGTGTTGCGAAAAATTTCCAACGCGAGAGTAAATATGACAATGCACTGACTAGTATTCGGTGGGAATCCTTTTGGTTTTTAAACTCAATCCAATATTTTATTTAATCAAATTAATTACAAGGATTCCGCGGCATAAGACCGTGAAACACCATCTCATGGGAGATAAACCCATGCATTACTAGGCCTTTGCAGGCGCAGCTTTAGAATACGGAACATATGAATATATGTTACCATATTCTAAACTGTAGTCCTTTTGTCTATACTATGGGCGTCCGTCAATCTGACACCGTTGGATGCAACGTGTTGGACGGGCGGGTAGCGCTCTTAGCGAAGGGGTGCATCCTGTCCTGGCGTTACGACGTCCAGGCGGGGTGGGTGGTATGTAGCGTCGGGCGCAAGTCCAGGGGGCCTAAGAACCTCCGTTGCCAGCTGATATTAGCAGTGCACCATTTTTGTGTCATAGTTGCTCAATTCTGCTTTTCTGTATTTACTCTTCGAGCTTTATACTTGCAAAGTCGAGTCACTTTTATTAAAAATAAAACCCCCTGGGGGGGACAGCCCATATACTAAATCGGAGCCGTGAAATTTCGCCGATATTCTTACTTTTAATAAAGTGAAAATATCAACTTTAGTTTTTGCTAATCATACGTTTTAGATTAGGCATTTCAGCACACATGAAGAAAACTGGTAGGTGAAAATACCTTTGGCCTTGTTCATTTTTATGCCCAAAGCTCATTCGGGTACTTAGATGTACTCGCGTGGGTGGAGGGCGGTGGACAAGGTTTAGTTTTAAGTGTACATTTTGGCGACTGACAAAAGTAGTGAACCAATAGTGAACCACGATATAAGTTCCACATGTGTGTGTGTGGTTAGGATGTGGGATTTGTGTCGTTTATTAACAATCTTAACTTACTATAACATTGCAAAATACTTATCAAGAATAAATTGCAAAATTTTTACATTAGATAATTCAATCGAATACGAAAATGAAATGTATTACTTTAGCATAATGTTCACTATTATTTGTCAGTCGATTTCAGCAAAAAGGTATGATTTTATTAGAGTGTGAAAGTTGAATTGAACTCGGGTGTCGGAGACGTCCCGGGACGTTCTCTCTAGGTGTAGGCATTTTTGCACCCGGGTGGTTGTATGAGAACCGTGGAGTGAATTTTTGTGAGAATGATTTTTGCCCTTTTTTAAATATAGCGATAGGCAGGCAGGTAGTTTACTTCTGGTATGATTGAGTTTAGTTTATAAGTAGGCAGGGCCAGAGCAAGCTTTCATGTTTCTCTTCGTATTCTCCTCTAATACGTGAGAAGCTTGTATCTGGGGTTGGAAATTAAAAAATCGAGAGGAAAAATGAAAATGCAAATTAATTAGTTGATTAATTAATTAATTTAGCATTCTCTCTTGATTTTTTCAAGGCCAAGCCTTATTAGTTTGTAAGTCGTAGTCGTGGTACTAGACCCGATTACAAAAATGAAGTATTAAAGTGAAAGTGCAGTGAAGTGAAGTGAAGTGAAGTGAAATTAAAAAGTGTTTTGTGCTTGGACATTTGCAAAAATTGTGCAGGTATGCGAGTAGCGATTCAAGGGATCGTTGCTCGTTTACGTGTTACGTTCTTACAAATGTCTGAGCAAACGTAAAATTTTCGCGAGTGATTTTTGTGAGGCTATTGCCGAAGAAAGAAGAGGCTATATGCTGAAGAGCCCCGGCAAAATTTGCCCAGAAGAGGGGAACTACTAATGGCTCTCCATCTTCGGATGGACAGTCATTCTGTCACTATGCTCGCTTATTTGTTTTTCTTTTTCTTGTATGTCTTTTACAGGGTTTTTGCTTGAACGGTATGAACAATACCGTCAAGTACATATTAAGCTCGAAATTTTACGAGTTTAATACCGAGCTCGTTGAATTATTAAATCGCGATTTTGTTTTTTCTACTTCTTTTTAATTCATTACTTTATTTCAGTGTATTATTTTTTTCTTATTTGCTTTTTACATAAATCATATTTCATATTCTCATTTTAAATATGTTCAATGTATTTAAAACATTATCTGCTTTAGGTATGTTTGCAATTAGGTATGTTTTCTGTTCTTGGCTTTTACTGTTTAAATTCTAATCGAAATTTTGATGGTAATCATATTTTCCGTTTCAGAATTCTATTATTGAAATTGTTATTTTCTCAATCGTTACTGAAATTATAATCTTAATAATTATATTTTCCTTTTCAGCATTTTGTCGTTTAAATTGTTGTTCGATCAATTCTTTTTGATATTACGATATTAATAATTATGCCTTCCGTTTCAGCATTTCATTGTTTAAATTGTTATTTTGTGTCGTTTGTTTTGGGGTGTTTTATAGTTTTAGGGAGTTCACTATTTTGTTTTCTATTACAGCATTTTATTTTTGTAATTTTTATTTTCCCAATTGTTACTGAGGTTGTAATATTAATAATTATGTTTTCTATTACAGCATTTTATTTTTGTAATTTTTATTTTCTTGACTATTATTGAAATTATGATGTTAATGATATTTTCTGTTTTAACATTTTATCATTTAACTTGTTATTTTATAAATTTTTTCTTTGATTATGTTGTTAATTGTCTGTTTTCTATGTGTTATGATTTTAGGGTGGGTCACTCTCGTAGCCACCTCCACGTGGTGTGACCTGGTAATCGATATCGTCGTCTAAAAATTTATCAAAAGATAGTTTTTAGAAAACGATATCGAGCTAAACGCTACGACTCGCGAGTATAAAGTAGTAACATAAATTTTTTCTTTGACTCATGAAAATGAAGTAGTTTTCATTTCTTTTGGCAACTAATTTGATTTATTGTTTAAAAAAATATCACTTGCATCTCTTCGACTCTAAGCACCTTGGACATAAAATATATAGATCATTTTATTTCAAACGAAAGAGTACAGAAATGATGATAGAAAGTGCTGAGATAAATATTAGAATATTTAATTCAGTGAATACAATTTACCAAGATCAATTACAATGTAAATAACATGTAGTTATATTTCTATACGAACAAATCTTTTTAAACATTAGACACTTAATCCTTTAAATTGTTTAATATTACATGTGAGTTCTATTAGTGTGTGTATAACATTATTTAATGTCTATCATCATAATACTTCTTACAAATGTTTAGTATCAATTTAAAAATCATAATTATTCATTTTTTCTCATTTGATTAATATTCTCTGCCGAGACTCCTTTTTGATCATCCCAAGGTTTCTCAACGTCATTTCGAACATCGATCAGCAAACTTTGCCTGCACAATTTCGAAATCGTATTCATATTCCCCTCCTCTATATCTTTACTACGTATGAATTTCGTGAATTTCAGTTTATTAACAATCTTCGCAAATGGCCCTAAAGGTTCTTGCTGTTTCACAATCGATCTTGGAAGAGACTCGCAACCACGATTGGTCTCTGTGAGTCGTACAAAGGTATCAGGATCCACATTGATCATTCCAACACTGGCAGATTTTATCCTGTCAGGTCTAGAAACGACCGAATTATCTGATAAATTATTCTTAAACAAATCCATTTTATCTTCTTCTTTTGACTTACTTGATACTTCTTCTACCTTTGAAATACCATTCGTATCCAACAATTTTTCATTTTCCTCCGGTTGTTTCTCCAAAATATCCTCGTAACGATGAACAGAATTTTTTAGAAAATCATGATCCTTGAGTGATCGAGGTTCCATCACGGAATGACACAATGGACCCCCTCGACGAGACAGGAAATCCTCCTTCGCCCGACGTATTCTCAAAAAGTGTGATTCGATGGACGATTCCTCGGATATTGTATTCGTTCGACCGTCTCTTCTTGCCACCGCATTAGATAAAATGTTTAATTTGTGAATAAGATCCGAAGACTGTGGATCGAATTTCGGAGAAGATCCTTCGCTTTTTAAACTGGAAGAACTAATAGCAGAAATGGTTTCTTGATCAGGCGTTGCTTGCACTAATGCACTTACTCTTTGATTCTTTTTCTCAACAGATTCTTTCAATTCATAATTTTTCTCTGTTATTTCAATACATGAATTCTTCTCTTTTAAAATTTTAGTTTGAGACGCGGTTGATGATTTCCTTTTACTCTCCACTGATTTGCATTCAATATTTTCTTCTTTATCACTTTCTTTTATTTTCAATTCTCTATCTTTCGAAGATGGACGAAGAGGCCAAGGTAAAGAAAGAGACATTCTTAATAACACATCTTGCCTGTTCACTTTTGGAGAGGCTGATCTGGATTTACTTTTACTTTTCATTGAAAATAAATGATCTTCTTCGAGACTCTCTTTTCTGCTAGCTGAATGCTCCTCCAATTTTCGGAATGGAGAAAATATTATACGTTTTGTTTTGATGAAAACGTTTCTACTTGGAGAAATTCTTTTTTTAGAGCTTCCTTCCTGGCTGATTGGAACTCCACGATCGGTGCTCGATCGATTACGACCTTCTATAGAATTTTCAATTTCAGAATTTTCTGCAGATGGTTTTGAACTTTTCAGTTTATCCACGCATCCTGTACTGGCTGTTGGTACGACTATTTTATTTAAGGTTTCTTCGTTTATGATTATCCTTTCGAAACAACGCTCTTCGCGACAGGGTGCAACTGTGCAAGGCGTTGTTCTGATGGTTGGTTCTAGATATTCACCACTGCAAGGGTTCGAAGAACGTAACACTACAGAAGTGAAGACATTTTCGAAATTATGATACTGCTGTTCCCTCGTTTCATTCGACGTTACAGCTGGCGGAGTTCTTTTCGTGCAATTTGTTCTACTTTGGTCTTCGTGATCTGGATTTTTGCAGTTTTGCAAGTTCGATTTCATTTTGAAGAGATCTTGATAGGTGTGATGATTGTGTATTTCCTCTCTGATCACACCGTAATTTTTTTCGTGATCGTTGAAACGTTCATCGTCTCGGTTTATACGACGGAGACCCATTTCAGATAAAGGAAACTTGGCTTCATCTAAAACTGATTATATTTTTTCACAAGAAAGAATCTTTCTTTTCTAATAAAAATATAAAATCTAATTTACAAAAATTACCTAATTTACATTTGTTCGATGATTCCAATAAAGCATTCGCATACTCTTCGTTGTAATTCGGCTGGACATCCGTTGAGGAACAGCAACGACGGTTGATGGGACTCAGATCAATTTCCTCATACTCGTTGTCGCATTTCATCTTAGCCTCGGCTGTGTCCTTTCCGTTATCGCTGCTTGGGTCATTTTCAGCCCCATGGACGTCATCGTCATGCTGGTGCTTCTTGTCGCCCGATAAGTCCTGGTTGTACCGACAGGTCGCTAATTGTGATTGCGCTATGGTAAAACTTACTTTTGAAGAAAATGCATTTTCCGTTGTTGCTTTCTTCTTGTCCGTGTTTCGGTGGGAAATCGAGTCGAATATTCTCAAAGGTCGAAAGCAAAAGAAATAACATTCAAAGTGGTAATTAATCTTTTATGTCTAATTAATGGTAATTAATCGTAAGTGGAATGTCTACATTATTCGTTTCGATTGTGGTAAGAAAAAAAAAAATAGCAAAATAAAATGATATCTAGGATCATCAAGTAGTAAATTACAACAATGCGATACGAAATTTTACAAAATCTACCATCATCTCTTTTATGCTCGCAGCAAAATGATTTTCGAGATTCCTTGCGTGCCCGGTTTCGTTTTCGTCTGCTTCTGAAATCAAATATAACGAATGTTTTTTTTTTATTTAACTCTTAGCTACTAAAGGTTTATATAATATTTTAAAATAGCAAATATATGCAATGGGAAATTAAAAATGATAATTCAAAAGAAAAATGGGTACCTTTTAGCAAATAATATTATATATTAATATTCATAGACTTCTGTAATTTTAAATTTACCTTCAAGCCCATATTTCTTTACAGTTGAAGTTCCATTATCTCCATCGGATTGTACACTTGAAATTTCTTCCCTGAAAACATACAAATCTGCAAAAGTATAGTTAGTTCTTTAAAACACATTGCATTCTTTTCCTGTACCTCTCACATTTGCTGTAATTCCTTTCAACCATTCCTTTTGATTCCTTCGCAACTTTATATTTTTGATCCAGTTCCATGGAATAAATCGAACTGTCTGATTTCATGGAATCTTTATCTAAATCTCGATCAAACTTTTCATCATTATCCCCTATACAATTCTTCTTTCCATTCAATGATTCTGTGATGGACGATCTCTCTGAGTCTACATTATCCTTGCTATTCCAAATTTTTGTTGACTCAGAATGATCTGTACTCAAACTATCTTCACTCGAGAAACTCTTCCTTCGACTCCACTTTTTCGACTCCCAATGCTTTCGATCTTCATTCTCCTCGATTTCAATTAAAAACATCGGAGATGGTTCGTGACTAGAAGTAACTGTCCCAAGTGGTACAGCGATGCTAGTCGTTTCACTCGCTGCAACGGAATATACAGGAGTCTGATGGGGTTGAACCCTTTCCAAAGGACTCGCAGTTTCCTCTATGACATCCTCTATGTCGACGATCATTGCTTCCGGCTCAGAATCGTCCATAACGATGTCCTCGGTTATGTCTTCCGTTCTTCGCGAATCGACTGAAAATCAAAGCGAAAAGTCGATTATTGATTGATAAATTGATTATTGAAACGATATACTTACTAGATGCTGGTAAATTATCAATACATTTATTATCCTTCGATCTACTTCCAGCATGATCAAATGTCTGTAAACTGGTCGAACGACGTATGAAAAATTCATCCTGCACAGTTTCTTCTATCACGCTACCAACGGATTTCGATCTTTTTAGAGCATTGACTTTGAATAGCGATGGTTCATCGTTTCCAGCTTCTAAAAATAATTTTAATTTTAATAAATATGTTGGAATTTTTTTTTTTAATGAATTTTTGACACGTACTTGTCGTAGGCTGTGTAACAGTCGACGTTTCATTAGTCATGTTCCTAGCAAATGGATCGTAAGCAGGTCCAAGAAGACGAAAAGTTGAGGACGTGGGTGATATTCCACGATACCTTTCCCAATCATACAATTTCCTCGTGAATTCTCGCGAAATACCTTCGAATCTATATGATCCTACAGATGTTCGAATTAAAACTTCATTGGTATCGTTTATGTTTTGCGCACCTTCGTACGGCCTTAAAAGAAAAATAAGAAAATTGTTGAATTTTTTAAATTTCCTTTAAAATTTACATTTACCTTACAATATACCATACCTTACATCTCCGTCGAAGCATTCGTCCAATCGTCGAGCATCGCTTTCCCTTCGTCCTTTTCCAATACCACTATCAAAGAGGGAGACAACCCTTTCCAGAGCTAGAAACTCGGTTTCGTCAATTCCAGAAGAAATTCCAAGTCTATTAGATTTCGATTGCGTGGCTTGTTTTGCGTCACGATTACTCGCGTCGTTCATCCTTTTCCAAATTTCCATTTTTCGAACAAAATCTTCACCGAGGTGCGATTTACCATCCCCATTTTCTTCGCAGCTACCACGGGACCCTGCCATTTCTTTATTTCTGTATTCAGATTTCGATGGAGATCTCCAAAGCTGCCAATCGGTCAAACGACGACGATTGATCCTTTGTTGCTCGAACGGAGCACTTCCTCGTCGTTCCTTTTTCGTACGTTTCCAGTCCTGAAGTTTCTTTCGGAACTCTGGCGCCAATCTCTCTTCGGACGGTAAGACTTCCCGAGGATTCAAGTAATTAGAGGATACTTCGCGAGAGTCTTTCGTGGCAATGCGAGGAGATGAGTTTTTTAAACGCTCCCATTCGATTAATTTTCGGTGGAACTCTGCTCCCAGTTTCTCTCGAAGGGCTCGGTAATCTCGACGAGTCTCGGCTTGAGCATTTAACGGGCTTTTCCGGAGCTCTTCCGTACTGTTGCTGTAGCCATAAGCCAATGGTGCTTCTAATCCTAATAGATACAAAAGAATTAATTAAATCGATGTTGATCAATAAGAATATTATAATATGTTTTGTATTTAGTTGCATTATACATTGTATTAGGCCAAATATTTCTTTTTATTAAGTTAAACTTTCATGAAAATTTATTTCAATAATTAAATAAATGACTTTGCCATTTTTCCTGGAAATGCCTACTATGCTCGGTACTGTACACACATTTAACGATAAATACTACGGTTGTCAAACTTCTTTTGTTTCAATTATGCCGATGTAAATCAATAACCCGATTATTTTGTATTTAAAGTCATGAATTTGGCATGTTGAGAGCAAAATTTGTCGTTCCTGTCATTCGTGAAATTCATACCGATATTTCGAAATTTTCCTCGCGTAACAGTGGATGTGATAGCAAAGTATCACGCAAAAAGGCACAATCGGCAGTATTATCGAAGTGTAAAGAATATGCCGATAAACTTGCTCAGTGTCCAAAACCAGCTGGTTCATGTGCGCGTTGTAAATGGCAGTTTTCGGATTCTACACCAGAAGTAATAAATCCATTTGCAATACTTTCTCCTCTGAGTTATCCAAAAAATTAATTTTCGAACCGACAACTTTTCCTTTCAATTTTTCAGTGTGAGGTGACAAGCGTTGTCGATAATTACGGAAAGGTCCAGCAAAATTTGACGAATCAGGCAAAATCAATTCTAGCTGACTTTCAAAAAGAATCATCATCCATACTGAGAAATCTTAAGAAAAACATAGAAATATCCAAAAATAATGAAGAAAAACGATTAGATGAATTCTCTCGTGACATCAAAAAGAGAATTCAGAAATTATTGGTTCTCGATCCACCGTTCGGTTCTTGCAAACGAAAGTCAGCAATGCTTCTCCATCATCAAACTCGACAAGCTTTTAACAATTTACAATGCGACGTTTTACCACGAATTAATCGAATACAATATATTATCGATAATTTAGAACGTGATATGCTAATTTCCATCGAACGTGCCAAGTCTTTGGCACTTTCCTGTCGAAAGTGCAAAAGTTCCGAGGCATTGGAGAAATGCATCGAGGAGAATGGAAAGTATGCAGAAAAAATTCTGGAGAAAACGTCGGAGGGTGTGCGGTTTGGTTTAAACAAAATCGATAAGGTTCAACGCGAAATTCTGGATTATCATAAAGCGACGATGTTAGATCTCATGAAAGCTTATCATAAAAAGAACAAGGCGTTATTGGAACATTTGGATAATTGTATTTTTGAAGCCACAAATAAAAGAAAACGATAAGAATTTGATTTACCGTCTTGAAGGATCATTTGTCTGGAAACGACTCTGATGAGATTAGGTGGAACACTCAGGGTTGAATTCGTCAAGAATGCTCGTCTGACTTTATTCCATTTCGAGTTTTGTCTCTGAGTTTTTGATGTTAGCATTGTGGATTCTTCGGTGGCTGATTGCTGCATAGAAAAATTGATAGAATAAAGGTTTGACTTTATTTGGAATTAGTAATATTAATATTAACCTGTCGTTTAAAATCTTTGTTGATAGAAAATTCCCGATGCATTTTCCTATGCTGCGGAGAATTTCCACCGGAAGTATGTGCACTGGATGGAAGTGGCGAGCTTGAATCTGGTGAGGACAAACACCTCATTTCTTCCTCGTGCGAAGGTATTGTAATCGTTAAGGTTGGAGTGAATCTTTTCGAAGATAAATCCGTATCCCTTTCATCCATTCTGTTCATGGAATGCATCGTATGATTCTTCTCGGATGTTACACGAATCAATGGTTTTCCCTGATAAACAAATTTTATATGTTTTAAATGTTTATAATTGAGTGATCTCAATTTTTGTATTTACCATATTTATGAGACTATGATCTTCAGCATTAGTGGTGACGATCTCTTCATCAAGGGATTGACTTCTCTGATTCGTACACTCTACCTTTTTCTCATTTTTCATTTTCAAGGATTGACATCCCAAATTATTTGAAATATTCTTCTGTAAATCTGAAAATCAATTACCATTATAGAAGTTCCTATACAGTTTCGTTTTCTATAATGAAAAGATATCTTCGTTGTTGAATTTGAAATAGAAAATTATAAAAGACGTATCTTGAAATTCTCCAGACAAACTACACGTTCTATTAGTAGAAGAAAGAAAAAATGCTGTATAAACATAGGTCAATAAATGCTTCAATAAAAAAGTTATAAAAAGAATAGGAAAAAAATAACTGATCTCCCCCTCGGTATAGTGAAACTCAAGAATGAATCATGATATTTATCTAATCTATTTATGCGAGTTAGGTTTATTGCCCAAAATTGCGGAAGATGATCTATGTTGCTTTTATTAGTACCGGTAACTATCGTTTTTGTTGTACAATTTCGCACCGACATGCCTCGATTATTTTTGGACAAAGATATACATAAACATTTCTGTTCTGTGTTACTTCTGTGCTTGAAATTTTCAAACTATTGTTAAACAATAGCAATATCACTTAGAAACCTTGCAAATTTCATAGTGGAAATTTTTGAAAATTTGATTTCAAACTTTCTAAATACCTATTTTAGAAACTTACAATATGTAAATGAATTTGCAACCTTCCGTCTTCTATAATTTTCTATAAGAACGCAATGTAACGAAGGGTTAAATCATTATTCCCAAACAAGGATAAAACATAAAAATCTCGTACAATCGTAAGATCCTTCGTTCGACGAGGAGGCAGACGAAGTTCTCCCAAAAGACGTTCCTCCATCGCAAGCTTCGTTTCCATAGGAAAAAACATGGGTACTATTCGAATCCCCAGTTTCAGTATCCAAACTCCTATGATACTTATTCGTCGGCGTCATAGTCGCCACGGTATCCATCGCTTCCAAATCGTTAGTACAAGCCCTTTCCCACTTGAAAGCAGCTTTCACTCTAGTCCATTTCGAGACTTTAGGCGCGCTCCCAGAAACTTCATCCACCGAAGTTTGTTTCTCGACGTCAATTTTACTTCTCGTTGGTCTCGAGGAAGACCTAATATACCGTCTCTGAAACGACGGATCCCTGCAATTTGACAGCATAGCGTCTAAAAGCGATTCAGCGAAACCAGTGTCCTCGTCGCAGACATCGTTCATGTTATCTTTATCCCTCGCAAAGGCGTTTTCCAATCTGCGGTCGACGTTTCGAAGCACTTTTAATTTCTCCAAGTTTCTTACTCTTTTGAAGAACTTCGAACTCCGGCATCTTAGTTCAAGAATTTGCTCGGTGATAGCGTAAAGACGATCCAAATGTTCGAACGTGTCATCCAAGTAGAGATTCGAAATAGCCATGGTGGAGGTGGCGGAATTCCTCGAGGGGCATTCCGACGTTTGACTTTCGAGAGGCGGTGTGCCAAAGTCCGTCAAGTACGCGATTATGTCCTCGTCTTCGTCGAGGCTACGAGGCTGCGCCGTTTCCGCTTGGTTCCGTGAACTTTGCGCGCACCAAGGGCTCGCCCATGGGTCCGGTGGAGGTACAGGTAACTGTCTCTCCTCCACTTTGTCTCTCGCTCTTGGTACCGCCCTTTGTTCGCGGTTGCGACCGATTTTCTTCTCGATCTTTGGATCATCGACATTATCAGCCATTTGGCGTTGCAATGAAACGCTTTCACATGTATCGGATGTACCTTTTGTTTAATTAATCTAAATTTAGAATGCTTCAATCCATAGACTCTTGATCACTTTCTTATTAGACACAAAGTTCTTTTATTATTAATTCGATGATTAAAAATTTATATCTTCATCGTTTTAACAAACTACGAACAGCACTGATTATTGTAACACTTATTACACTTTTTACCACTGATTCACCTGAACACATACGATTAATTAAGATAGGTTTTTTTTTATTTAATTTATTAACGATATCCGGACATTGGCGGATCTTACGTGGAGTAGTTGGAAGGTTCTCGGTGGGAATGCATTTTTTACGTTTGGCGGCGTCAAGAGAGTCGCGGAAGAAGCGGTCCGAAATCGCAGCAGCGTCGTCGCGTGATTATTTTCGGTAGCGAGCATTCGGCATTCGTATTTACAACGAATACAAGGGCGTTATTCGTGATCCACCGCGAGAGCATGCGCGAGCGTACTCACCAGTGGAAGAGGATGGTCTTCCTGTTCTCGTCGAAAATAGACGTCGAGAAGACTTCGTGCTACCCTCTCAAATGGCCGCTCTTCTTATGAGTCTGCACCGCTAAATATTGATACGATTATCTTTCAACCGCACGATTTTTATTATTTCGACCGAATTCTAAGGAACCGTCTGTGTTCGCTTGAAATACAACGATAACTGTTTGCAGGAATGATAGGAACTTTGTCTTTTTCTAATTTTACATCACTGTTGGTTTAAATAGGCTCGACTAAAATAACTACTGTACGCGAGTCTGGTATGACTTTTCATTGATGATGTTTACTTACTGACGCGCCGATGTTAACACTTACATGTTTGAGCTACTGTGTAGATTCCGAATGATCTTTTTTCTTTTTAGTTGTAACAACACATTTCGAATGGTTTTCTTAAGCATGATACTGTTTTATTATTTTTGGATTCGTGGAAAGGAGGAATGAAATTTCTTCGAGAAATCGGTATTCGATTCGATGGATTCAGACTAGGATTATCCGCCCAGAGATATTTATAATTTATTCGGGTTATTTAAGATTATGTTAGAAATGAAAACGTAAACAGGCTATTCCTGCATCGGTAACCGGGTTAGGTCAGGCATTTGCAATCCAACAACCGCTACACCTGTAATCGTTAGATTAATCTCAGTACATCGAGTAAACATCTTGAAGCTTAAATCAGAGATTTCATTTACTTACTCAGTAGCATTCCTGATACGAAGAAAATACTGTGGAAACAGTGTACGTTTAAAAAGAGTTTTGTAAAAAAGTCGAGCAAATGTGGGAGTATTCTTGTAAATCCGATAGCGGTACCTCTAAAAGTAAGTGAAATTAAAGAAAATTTTTATTTTGTTGTGAGAAAAAATATTAATGACCGACCTTATACCAGTAAAATAATTCTCCAATATTAATATTGTGGTTGATGTATTGCAAATGGCATACGTTGCTAGAGTAGTCATTGAAAGAACGAGTTGCATTACATGGTGAACTGTAAATACTAAAGCAAGACATGTTGCAGCTCCTATTAATCCCGAAAATACTGAAAATACAGTAAAAATGATGTAATATAATGTAAAATGAAAAAAGCAGTAACATGATTACTGAAGAGGTCACCGGTGACCAGCATTGCAAATTAGATGGATTCAAATAATTTAAAGAAAATAGAATATTTACCAAGAAATATTTTTCTGCCGACACTGTCGATTCCAATTACCAGTAAAATCTCCGCTAGTATGTAGCTCAAGGATAGATACAAAAGAAGTTCGAAACGATCGATATTTATTTCCTGACAATTGTGTAAAAATCCCATTACCATATTCTGTATATCGATAGTACAATTATTTTCTTTGGATTTATCCAAATTTTCCATTCCTTCGAGTAATTGGGTTTTCCATAGTGCGAACCAAGCGATTCTAATTATTGAAGTTATACATAATTTAATGTACATCATCTATAATCTACATTAGTTATTACCCAGGAAATTGCAGACAACTAATAATAATTGCCAATATGGTAATACGTGCGAATGGTGTTTCAAATATATTTCCAACACGTTTACACGTCTTCAGACAAAATATCTCTATTGTTTTAAAAATACCATTCTTCTCGATCTCGTTCCATTCATCTGATCGCACACAATTATCGAAATTGCTCGACTAAAATAATAAAATCTTGTAAAATAAAACGGGACATTATTAATATAAATTATTAATATAAAATTGTCATACTGGATAAGTATTAGCATGTTTCGATGTATTAATTGCATACATCTGTTGAAGTATTGCGAGTGTTTCTTCCTGCCGTTGACGATAAAGCATGTATCTGGGACTTGCTGGTAATAAACTAACTGCACATGCCATGATTAAATTCGGCACACCACCTATTCCAGCAAGTATCCGCCAAGAATTTGGTCGAAACTTGTTATCTTGAAATCGTAGGATGGAAGGCATAAGCAACCATGAAAATCCTATTTACAATTATGATAAAATATTTAAAAAATATTTAGAACTTTATGATTTTCAATGTGAATATTCTATAATACAAATTCACGTAATTATTTACTACTAATTACTTCGAATAGTTTCAAACTTATATGCGAGATATAAGTTTATAATGTTTACCCAAAGCTGCTATGTAACCAATGATTCCAAATATGTCCAAGACAGCTAAGGAGGAGCCTCGTTGTTTCATGGGCAAAAGTTCAATTAAATAGACTTTTAAAACCACATCGTTACCGGCTAATCTAAATACATTGATGTTACATGTTTGTTTCAATAATTTTCTTTTCAATGTTAATTAGCATTTTGTAAATAGAAAGCCGGTAGAACTTACCCTGTTCCAAGTATGAATAGCGATAAGTTTATTAAGAAAGTAGCTTGTGCAAAGGATAAGGTAATCATAGAGCAAAATATAACGATTAAAGTTAGAGAAATTGATCTTTTTCGCCCATATGCATCAATTATTGCTCCAAATAGAAAGGCTCCTATAACCATACCTAGATCATACATTTTATTTCAACAATTTCAACACACATGTACATTGGTATTGAAACAGAGAACATATACACTACCAAAGGTTAATACAGCATGTACAGCAATTGCTTGACCTGTAGGTAAACTTAAATCACATGCCAAAAGTGGAACCACAACTAGGATAATTGAAAGCACACAAGCTTCTGCGAATTTACACAATCCACATATTCCAATGATGGAATAATGACAGATTCCCCATCCTGGAATAATAATGAAATTTTCGTTTTTCTTTTTCAACTGAAGAAACACTTATGACATAAGATTTGATTAAAAGCTGTTAACCTGTTTTAGCTATGATAGTTTCACAATCATTAGTCATCTTGTATTGTAAAATGTAACAAGTATTGTCTTATATCATTAGTGGACTAACAAATTCGTTGAGAAACATACACCATATCATTTGCACATTATACAAATTTGTTCGTTTTACATACAAATTGAACTTCCCAAATTTTCCAAATTAAATCGATATTAAAAAGCGTTCGATGATCGATAATAATTTTCATAGATACGTAACCCCATTGAATACAAGACATAGGTATCAAAATACGATATATTTAAACGAATAGAAATACACAAGAGATACAAAAGACACTTATTTATTTTAAGAAATAAAAACAACTGATATTCAGTACATTATTCATTGTGGAATAACCACGGATTCTTTTTTGAAACAAAAAAAAAATGTAACAGAAGACGTAAGTCGTCTTTCTAAAATATGAATATTCTTATTAATTTATTGATCCTTAAAATACTCTTTTGAGCCGTTAACATCAGGCTTCATGGTTTTCTTTCCTGGTTTCCAGCCAGCTGGACATACTTCTCCATGTTTATCTGTGTATTGGAATGCTTGAACCAAGCGCAATGTCTCGTCAACAGATCTGTAATTAACCAAGTTTATTATAGCAATAGAATATCATTACGGATTATACGAAAAACAGATTTCATACTGTATCTTACCTGCCGACCGGCAAATCATTAATTGTAACCTGACGCAAGTGTTGTTTATCATCTATGATAAAAAGACCGCGGAATGGAACTCCGGTTTCTTCATCAAGCACACCATAATCACGTGCTATCTTAGCGCTTTTATCAGCAAGAAGAGGAATGTTCATTTCACCAAGGCCACCCTGTTTACGTGGGGTATTTACCCATGCCAAGTGGCTGAAGTGAGAGTCAGTGGATGCTGCAATCAGTTTGCATCCAATTTGCTCGAATTCATGAGCGCGATCGGAGAAGGCAATGATTTCAGTTGGGCAAACAAATGTGCTGAAACACAGATTATTCTTTATTATTACACAATATACTGACAAATAAAAAATTAACTAACATGATAATAAATTTAAGTACTCACAAGTCCAATGGGTAGAAGAAAAGAACAACATATTTTCCTTTATAGTCAGAAAGAGAGATGTCTTTAAATTGTCCATTGACAACTGCAGTACTACGGAAAGCCGGAGCTGGTTTCTGAATAGCTGGAACTGGCATAGTTACCTCTTATATCTGAAATACAAAAAGAAAATTAACAGGATGCTGCTATTTTATTGACAGAACAAATAAATATGAAGTTTCTAGTTTTCAGGTATTATACATACTAAGCCATAATCAAAATTTTGTAATCACATTTATATAAAATACTGTACAAACAAGATCATTTCCTCATAGTATATACTGCACTTTATTAAACAATAAAAAAAAATGATAAGATAAAATAAAAGGTTAAAGTATCAAAGTGGAGTGACAAAAAGAAGCTAATACTGTGGTAACCTTAAATGACCTTACAATAACTTGATTTAAGATCTTGATTGTAACTGTACTTATTTATTGCATATTAGAGTAGTAATGATAATACAGAATCATTTATACATTAAAAAGACTCAAGGTCAATTATGCCCTACCATACTCTTATGTATTATACATGGCTACAGTCAATTAACAATCTTACAATGAAAATCAGTGATAGGCTACACATATTTTTTCTATCACTGGATTGTTCATATTACTTAAGTTACTGTTAACAAAAACAATTTTAAGTACTATATTCCAGCTTATCCTACTTGCTTTCTTACTTATCAATGTTACATAAAGTGTAACATTATTATCACAGTACTAAAATGTACAGTATTTCGCAAAATATTTCAAAACTACTTTTTTACTGTTATATATATGTGAAAATAACATAGGCAAATTAATTTAGAAATTATTTATTTTACGAATTGTTTATAATAATTGAACTTCGGTATATGTATACATAGTTTCGTTCATAATAAATAACGCTATTTAATCTGTAAATAATTAAATATGCCGGCATGTATGATGCATAAAGGAATGCGGCAATAATTGTGGAAAAATCAAAGCTTGGTAGTTACATTCAAGGCCAGTTCAAAAACGCAAGTACGAAAATTACGTTATTTAATAGAACAACTTCAACTATACCATGTATAAATGAAATAACATGATTCGAATAATAATTTATTTACAGCATGACAAAAATTTTATATCAATCATGCTGACTATACAAAAGTATAATAAATGTAAATAAGTTAGCAACATGTTTCGCCGGAATAAAATTTATCATTAATTAGTGGATATATGTAAGACAAATCAATTAGTATAGTTTTAAATGCTTTACAATGTGTGCAATTTCATATTCCGTGATGCAATCTTATATACCTGACATCAATAGATTGGTCTCTAATACAGTGGCGTCGCAATTTAAGTTTGCGTGTATAACTTATCTATGATCAAGCATTCTAAGCATTCGAGAACCTTCCATAAAGAGTCTATTCCAAGCAATAGAACATATCTCATATGGGAAATATTTTCAATTATGTAACGTTAATTCACATTGAATGAAATAACGAATAAAACTGTTCCATTTTTTGGGCTTAGGCTTACATTTTTGCAATTTAACAGTTATATTTGAAAACTTAGAAACAAGTGAGAAATTACTTTGCAAGTTTTTTAAAAATTAATGTAAAGTAATAATGATATTTTCAGATGCAATAATTATATGAAAATAATACCTTTTCTTTGTAGCAAAAAGTCTACTTTACAGTTCACTGAGACGTCCTACGTGCTCGTCGACTCACAAAGAAATATGCGACCGGTAACCGGTTTCAATGGAACATACCTGGTATTTAATAATTGCAAATGAAGAGCTTTATTTGCGCCATCTATAGATCTATGCTGCCCTCTATTTTCAAGTAACTTTGCCAATGACTGTTCATTTCATTTTTGTTCATATTCATTAGTTTAAATCACTGATATATTTATTTTATGATTTCAAGGAAAAAATAATATATGTCTATATTGTTTTTTTCAATTATTACCTTCAAGAAGCCTTTGTTTTCTCGTTAATTTGAGAATTACCACTAGTTACCAATCTTACCAACATACCATGGGCATAAGAATAAATCTCTAGGTCCACATAACACCAGTTCGATTTTGCGAAATGTAACTGCAAAGAAGTAGTATTTTGTTATGTTCTAAAACTGACATCAGAAATGAAGTAGTTTTTATAGAAAATTGTAGAAATAAAGAGAACAACGTGTTACTAATATCTTCATTTATATAGTTTTATTCAAATAAAGATAACATCGACCGAGAACTGATAAAGAGGTTTCATGATTTTAGTATAGGTTGTGCTAGAAGCATGACTTACAACTTTACACCGATATGAAAGTATTTCAAAACTTCCAATTACAAAGTTTAATGAATGTAACACGTGAGTTAAATTAGTATGCTTAGAATATTGCAATCATAATTAGTCATACATGTTTAGTCAGCACAATTATTTACTAAAATTAAAATGAAATTTATTCATACAGTAATTATGAATGTATAGTACCATATAGTATACCATATAGTATACCATATGAAAGGTTACAAAATTATTTGGAAAATGAAATAAATTGTAATTATTTTTATCATTAATTTCACCAATCTATTCTCACTCTTGAAATTACATTGAACACGTGATTCACATATAATATAGTTCTAATTTTATTTATATATGTGTGTGTGTCATGTTTAATTTAAATGAGTCATACAAAACTGTTCCAGAAACAATTGAACTACAAAAAGTCATTTATATAAAAACTTTGGTATAAAGAGGGCATGTTATATAAGTTTTTTATGGTTAATCATACAAAAATGATTTCAAGGTTATCTTACTGTTAGAGATTATTCAAGATCACAGAAAATTATCATTGAGTGGTTTGGATCTATAGCTAACATATTTTGTAACTCCAGAGTTAAAAAGATTAAGTGATCTTAATCTTAATCTAAATTTATCATCACACTATATAGTTTTAATGAATAAATAGCTTTTAGTTTTTGTAATATTTTATACAATTGGCCCTTCGTATCTGCGGTATTACAACCGCGGTTAAATGAAACAGTATAAAGATTATCCTATGCAACCGGGCTAAAATATAATTCAAAAACTATAAACGATAGAAAAAAATGTCATTAGTAAAATGAAACGGTTTCAAATAAAGCATCACATGATGCATGTACCGATACCGGAAGTAGAAGCGTTCCGAAGGTTTCAAGGTCAATTTAATTTTTAAAATGGAATTTCATATTTTTGTAAACGCCAATCAATGCATCTTGTTAATCTCTACAAAAAAATATTAGGGTACTTGCATCGAAAATTGATTAGTTCAAAAGTTATCTTAGGGAGAGACCACTAGGCTCTCCCTATCTCTCCCTAAGATATCTTTTGAACTAATCAATTTTCGACCCAAGCGCCTTAATACTTTTTTGTAGAGAATTAAAATACGCTTCCATTGATATATAACAAAGTATATAATGAGTTATTATTATATTTTGTATATAATCAAATTTTGTTTCGCGAGTAACAAATACATCGTACACACCTTTTATACATGAGTAATTTGTCTTTAATAACAACAATTTATATAAATAATACATCTGTGTTTTAAACTACAACGCCAAAATGAATAATACAATGATATCTGTATTTCACCTTTAAATATTAAAATGCTAAATAAGACATAATTTCAGTAGATAAATACTTTGAAAGTACTTTCTATCGTGTTTCCTTTTTATTTATATGTAAATTTGGCACTTATCATGTAAGAATTGTAAATTGCATTAGATTTAATACATATAAAATTAAAAGAGTTCCGTCGACGAATACTTAAAATTTAATAATTCATCGAGATCCGGTTTGCTCTTATACGTTTCTATTAATTTTATATTGTTCTAAGAAAATGAAAAAAACTTTCTGCATCATTAGAATGGCTGAGATAATTCAGTATGTGGTGGTACGAGGAGACCTATTAAAGACAATGGGATGGCCCATAGGCGCAGTTATAGCTCAAGCATGTCATGCGTGCACAGCTGTTACTCATCTTTTTTATAATGACAATTACACTCAAGCCTATCTTGCTGATTTAGATCGTATGCACAAAGTTGTTCTCGAAGTAAGTGTACCCAGGAATGGTATAATATTATAACTATTGGACGTGAATTCAAAATGTATTATCGTGCACAATTTTCTCAGCGTGTATGTGTGTGTATGTGATACAATTTTTAAGATAGCGAAGGAGTATGGTGACATTTATAATATGGTCATACATGAATATATTTTTATACACATATCGATATTAGATTCCAGATGAGACTGCTTTAAATGAATTACGTTCGAAATTAACAAATGAGGAGATTGATCATAAGCTCTGGATCGAACAACCTGAAAACATTCCAACGTGTTTGGCAACGAAACCTTATCCCAAGGAAAAAATACAACCATATTTTAAGAAATATAAGTTGCTCAAACTCGTAGCAAAATGAAGCTTTCAATATACATTCTCGTTTTGTATTGTATACGAATTACAATAAAAAAATGAATCATTTATTTAAAACGTTTCGGTATAATGTTTCTGCTTGTAATCTAACTAGTATTATTTTTCACCTTGTAGAAAAAGAAGTCACCATCCTAGCAACAATATCCTACAACTTAATAGAAAGTAGTACCTACGTTCGTTCAATCGTTAAGAAATAAATTAATCTTTTGCTTTTTCAAACTTTCTCTTTATTTTCAGAATATCTTCTTTCGTTTCTTATATAAGTAATTCTAACTCGGGATTTACTATACGCCAATATGAAAACCATAGATATACATGTACTTATAATTTATTTTACAATACCTAATAGTATTGACAATGTGTACACATTACTCCTTTGCTTTACAGTTGATTTTATCGCTAATCTAGATGAAAATTATATAAAGATATGCATTGTTAACTGATATTTGTATAAAAATTGCTTTTCCTTTTTGCCACTATGCAAAAATGTGCACTTTATTGGGTGTGCCGTAGGCAACAAAATTACACAGGTACGCTTAATGGCATCGTGCACATAAGTAACAAATTTCAACTGTTCTTTGTAATAATCATCTAACTTTCCGATGGAAAATGATTTTGCAAAAATTGAACTTTCTCAATGCGATGCGATTTAAATTAAATTTAAAAAAAATATCTTAAAAACATAGTGATGTGCAGTAAAATTCGTAATTAATAGAAGAATATATAATACATAATATTATAATTGTGCTTAAATGTATTTGGGTTGCGCCTTAGCAAACGAAAAAGGAATAAAATAAATAAAACTCAGAAGGGTAACGTTACTTGAAATTTCTATGGATATACGTTGAAGGTAACGATACTTCTGAAATTAAAATTAACAACTTTTCGTCATCGATTTCATTTACATACTAACTGTACTACGATGATCGATATCTCAATCCTTACTGCGTTATTTATTACATAACATACATAAATATCATAAAGAATTCATTCGTCATTTTGAAAATTAACACGTGTTCGTAGCTAATGAGTAATAATAAATGAATAATTTATTTTTTTTTCTCCACAACTATCATCGTATTACGTTGTGCAAATGATACTTTGATACTGATGTATTTTTATATTGACATTTTATATTGACATTTATGTTTGCATTACAGACGAGCCGTCAGTAAAATTATATTGATGTTCTATCCGCGTTCGCAGTAATAAGCTCTAAATATTTATGTACACGCACTATTTGCGGACGCTAAACACTGTAAGTACACTTATTTACAACACTCGATGGCAAGATGATCGTTTTTGGCATACACGCTTCGTATATGCCAAGGGAAAGAAAAAAAAATATATATATACGTAAAAAAAATATATATATTTCTTTTTCTTAAATAACTCGGTATTTTCTTTTTTTTTTCTTTTTATTTTTCACGTCAAAATTTAGATGAGCCGTGTTTTCACGATGGAGTATACACAGAGGTCCTTGAAAATATGCGCTATCTTCCTTAATATATTTGTATCACTGCCCTTCTTTTTCTCGTTCTTCTTCCAGCCAATCGTGAAGAATATTTCTTCTTCTCTGAAAACATTAAGAAACAATCCTGTTGTACATAATGTAAAGGAATAGTTTTCGAAGTTCGAAGCAAGTGTGAAAGATTCGTTCACGTTCAAAAGACGAAAGATCGGTCGATTTTTTGAAACATAGAAGTACAAGTGCTTATTCGTTTAACACAAATTCATATTCGTTTATGCATTTCAATGATTACTGGCTAATTACAATCGTAAGATACCTTGTCGTGCTTGAAAATAAAGCGAATGGATTTGTAAGCAATTGGTCATTATCCTTTCGTAGATAGACAGCCAAGAGTATTATCATTAATAACTTATTAGTATTGATTATAATAATCAAAAGAATTGTATACAGGTTTGGTAATTAACAATATGAAAGTAGTATCATTAATTTCTTCAAATTCTTCATAGGTAAATTTTGCATTGTTCTACGTTTTAAAATAAAATAGATTACTTGTATAAAAGCGGAAATAAGAATAAACGTAGTCATAAACATTCAAGCTTTGATTAACATAAGGCATATAGGTAAAAATGGAGTTAGAAAGGAAGGAAAGTTGCAGAACTAAAAAGCTTCTCACAAAAATAAATATACTTTGTTACTTAGAAGCGTGTAGTTTCGCTGATATTATCCATGCAAACAACGTTAGTATAACTACGGGATTTGCAATTACCAGGACCACGTTAGTTTGGGAGAGCAAGGTGAGACGAGTGATGAGGGCGATGGCAGTGGTGGTTTTGGTGGTTGTAGTGGTGATGGTAGTGGTAGTAGTGGTAGTAGTTGTTGGTAGTGATTAGGGCAGCGCACAATGAGCATTATTGCTCGGCTAGATTTCCGTTCGGGTCCGTATACTCCTCGTATTCCTCTTCCGGTTCCTCATAATCCGTTTCTGCTGGTTCGGGACCGTCGACTGCTGGTATTGAGGTGCTAGTGATGTCCTGCTAAGCATAATTGATAATCCAAGCGTTCGTTGCACCTAACTCAATTTTTTTCTTTTATCTATTTAAATAATTACATTTATCCCCATTTATTTTCCTCTGATAAAAATAAATATCGTATAATGATTAGTAATAATCGACGATTAGTTATCATTATTTCTTATTACTAACCCAGAAGATTTTTATGTTTCAGGAATGTTAAAACACCAAAAGATGGGAGGAGGGAGAAGATAATACGTTACACCCTCTTCTGTTATGTTAATTAAAAATTGATCGAGAAACGAAATACCTGAGGTGGTCTCCATCCGCATCCTGCTAGCGGAAGTCCATCGGACCCTAATGGACAGGGAGCATCCAGGCCTGGTACACCCTGATCTCCTTTGTCACCCTTGTCGCCTTTCCTACCGCGTTTCCCTTGCGGTCCCTGTATTCATACACGAAAATGCTTCAGCATGTAGAAATATCATACAGCCATATAATATTCGCGAACGTGCAAAAAAGGCCAGGCACAAGAAAGACTCTCTTTATGCATTATATAATACCCAATTAATTGTGCAGAATACGCAATTGAGCATTAACGTCCAACAAAAGGCGTCAAGGGATTTTCTGTACTTTGAATAACTCGAATTGTCCTTTTCTTTTTCTTCAAGTATCGCGTGGGAAATAATTGGATTGCTGCTACAATTTCAGAAAATTTATGGAATATTTTTAGTACACGCTGGTGGCAGCATACGTGGTATTCGTTTTATACAATTACTATTTCTCTTTCAGCACGAAGATATAAGAAGGGAGAAATGCAAATTTGGGTTTTAGTTTGCATGCGTGATGCAGAAACACATGTATCAAGTTATCCTTCGAATCGGTTGATAATTTCGCATCGATTAATTGAAAATTAATATTACTGATCGGGAACGTATGGTAAACTGTTTCTCGAGTGTTCTTCATACTTGTTAAACAGGGAGACTTCCGCTGATTTAGTGGTATTAAATTTAATGTTAATTTTTAGCAATAACATAGCAATAATAACATAAGTTGTATTTATGATAATGATAGTGATGAAAACGCCAATGATAATGGTAACACGTCAAAATGTGAATTAATATATAATAATGACGAATATTTTTGTGTTAGGGATAGTATTAGCTCTGGAATACGGAAATTTTCACCAATTAGACAATTACATCGTACAATAAATTAATTCGCTCTTCGAACTACAATTTCCTTGCCCAATTAGTTAAAACTGATAGTCGAATTACGTCAATACTCACAGATTCGCCTTTAGCACCTTTCTCCCCTTGCGGTCCCTGGAATTGGTACGTCAAAGAATTTATTTGTTAAGTGACGGTCGTGCCTCTCAATTTCTATTTTTTTCTACGTTTACGTAGGTATTGTTGAAAGAACTTTGATTATAGAACATTTTTTAGACGAAAGTTACTTTCAATGGCATGACATGTGACTACGATCACGAATTTGTGGACCAGTAGAAGAAGCAATTTTCTGCTGGATTAGCCCCTTTTACTTGACCACATTTCGCGTTTCTATTAAATGATTAGTTTACATTCTCCAATCTGAAGATCAAAACGGAGAGGATTCTGCGCTTCTCCCTCTGTTTAACATTAACGTCCACTGCTTTGATCGAATTTTAGTAGCACGGAATGGATAAATAAAAGAATCTATTTTCATTGTCAATCCATTGAAGAAAATAGTTAAGGAGATTAAATTATTTCTATGTTCATAAGAGAGAGTTATTGAAAATATTTATTAAGAGTTTGATATTGACTTTGGTACTTTGAGAGAAGTGTATCAAAAGAAAAGATTTTATTTTAAAGAGGTATAATAGATATTTTTAATTTTTGTAATTTTAAAAAGGATTCAATTTAAACTTCCTTTCGCTATTTATAAAATAAGGAATTTACCTCTTTAAAACAAACATTATCTTGAAATTATTTCTGATCATTTCTCCTATTATCAGAAACAACGAGACAAAGTGTTCATAATAAATGAAATATCTCATGCTTGTTTTGCAACAATCTGAACCATAAGAGACCGCAATTATTTTTATCTAATCTGAATCAAATATTTCAATTAAGTTATAGTTAAATATAAACTAAATTTCCATACGAACATGCTGAATCAAAGTGTACTCTCATTAGAATGTATTGAACGTGTACGAATGTCGAAATGTGTTAAAAGAAAAACACTATCAAAGTAGTTTTCAACGATATTTAAAAGAACAATAAAAAAGAGCTCATGCTAAATATCTTTGATGTAAAGAGGGAGAAAGGCGCAAAACGTAATTCCAGCCCCTTCTTTTCGTGCAAAGGAAGTAAAGAGACGAATTTTTTTGGGGGTAGTCCCCGGGGTAGATCAGGCAGATGTATCATCGTTACCCCGGGCTGGTTAGACTGTGTCGCAGTCACACCGAGGGGCGAGCGATAATCGAATGCCACTGTACCTCCGCGCCAGGAATTCCATCGGTACCCTGGGGACAAACAGAATGTGTCGTTGGTGTCTCGACGACAGTGTAATCGAGTTTCAGCCGGATGAAATATCGTTTTGAACGTTTAACCGTTGCTGTGATACCAGCTGAACATCGAATTGCGAAAGCACTTTGTGAATATGCCAGAAACTGCTTCGATGCTATGTAGAATTCATTGATCTAATCATTAGCCTGCAATCAGTATTCACTAGGTGTACAAATAAATTCCCGCCACGATCGCATTTAGATATTTCATCCAGCTATTTTTATAGTATTTTGATACTAAATTAGCTACTCTATTAGTCTCGAATCTTAAGGATTTGATTCCTCAGCAAAATATCGAGATTAAGCCAAGTTTGGTGGAAGTTAGAATTTTGCACCGTTAGGTGGTTCGGAATGTTAATGACACGAAATGAGTTCTGTGTACTCTGCACACAGAGTGGTCTGGTAATTTCCCTCATTAAGATCCGATTGAAAATGTTTAATTTGCTGAGGAATTAGTTTACCTAAAGTATATCTAAAAACAATTTTTGAAATGAGCTAAATCAAATAATCTTAAATAGAAAAATAAATAATTCTATTTTAAAAAAAATAGTTTGACTTTGTAGAATATAATAGAATAATTAATTAGAGAAATACTTACAGGTAGTCCCGGGTCCCCTCTTTCACCCTTTGTGCCAGGTTCACCTTGCGCACCCTGTAAGTATTAAGAAACTTAACGAACACTATGCTCTATACCTCATCTAATTAAACAATACCGTTAACATTGCAACCAGCTTAATCTACGCCAGAATGACGAAATCGTAGCGTGGAGCGTAGAAATCGAGGATCCGAAAATCATAAATATAATGTATGGTTAAACGGGTCACCCCGAGGATTGCTCACCTTCATGCCGTCTAATCCTGGTGGCCCCTGAAAGGCAGAGGAAACCTTGTCAGATTCATTGAAGTCACCTGATGATTAATCTAGTATGTCGATTTAGGTGTAATTTATTAAATAAGGAACTATAGTATGTATTAGACGCCCTTTGCGTCCTTGTTCAAACCAACCTTGTACCTTGCCAAGCTCTTTTAAACCCTTTCTTGAATTTTATACGAATTAATAATACATCTTGATAAATGGAAAATTTTGTTACAATAATTTTAAGTTTCTAATTCTATAATAAATATTAATTTGGCAACGAGTGTCAAAATTGAATAGTAGAGTCGAACATATTTACAAGTAATGAATAATTTTTCATTCAAACAGACTGAAGTTAATTTTTTTATTAATTATTCTTTAAGAGCTAGACAAGGGTACAATTGATGGTCATTAGGCAAAGGAGAAGACAGAGAAGGAGCTCAATTAAGAATGAGAAAAGAAAGAAAATCCGCGGTACTCATATTAACGTATGAATCAAAACTTATAAACAATTGAACAATAATAACGTGGCGTAACGATCCAACAATAACCGTCTTGGTTGCAGCAAATTAACACGTGTTAATTTTTGTGTGTCTCTGATGATCGTGTCACGATCAATCTTTATGCAGACTCACGAACAGAAGAAAGAATAGAACGAAAGATAGATAAGAATAAAGTGGTGATGATGGTTAAGAAATGATCGTCGGATCGCAGCCGTAACAAAATGCAAAGCGGTAGTATCACTACGAGGTGTGTGATAAGAAGCGTTAAAAATTTTGTAAGGGCATCGTATAGAAGCAAAGGACACAGGCACATGCACATTCTGTTTATTAATTGGGACAAATGTAAAACAAAATTGTTAGAGTTCAAGTATTTCATATACGCAAAAAACACGTCGTCGTATTCTTCTCTATAATTCTTTGTTCTCTTTTCTTTTTCTCTCTTGTTAATTACCAAGGCGCGCCGTTTTACAATCAATACACACATACGCACGCACGGAGTTCTATGCATTTTCCTTTTTTTTCTTTTTTTTTTTAATGCTCGTTTTATATCATGCATGTATATATATGTGTATACACACCCACCCACCCACGTATGTATACATATATACCATACATACGCGTACAGAAATTATACAACACGCATACACGTGACGATCGGTTATCATTTTCCTCCCCCCGCCCCCCCCCCCCCCCCCCTAACCCGGTTAATTTACGTTACGTGCACCAATGATAAACGCATATCCACACGTATACCGTATGCGTTTCACTCGCATTGCCATCGTTCAAGATTTCACGATACGAGTGTGTTTCACGCTCTTGTTTTTTGCTTTTTTTACTCAATTAAAAACTACTCGCACTCGTCTATATTTTTCGATTAGGGGCGTACACAGGATAATTTAGGGGTGCTATCGCGATCTCTGCACGAGACAGACCAGATATATTGTTAACACCGTTGTTAGGGCATCGTTATCGTATTCTACACTGTACAGCTTCGTGATTATTCTTCCCCTCGTACGTTCAATCGTACGCAAGTGAACACCTTGCACGTTGCGGGGTGACTAGGCTCGCAAATAAGGATATTCGTAAGTACTGTTACGGGTAGTTTAGGGTTCTTTTGGTTAAGGGGCTGTGCGAAGAAAAAAATGTTTCATTAGTTGTCTTATTTGTTTATGTCCTTTAAGTGTTGGAGAGGAGGTTCTGAGTTAGGTTCTTTCTAGACTTTCCTTTGGTTTTCAAGTTTAGGGTTATGGGGGTGTTTAAAATGATGGATGTTGATATGGACAAATAAGGCACCTGGTGTAACACTTCTTTCTTTATACTTCCCTTTAACCAAAAGAATGGCAATACCGTAATTTAGGCCTCGATTTCTTGTATCTAGTTATCTATTTCTGTTTCTTATCTAAAATTCAATTTTCCTCGTATTACCATCACTTATTCGTTCAATATTTTTCAAATCGTACTTGATCGATAATTATTTTTCACGAAATCTATCATTAAAAATCATGGTTAATAGCTACGAAGTGAAGAAACTATAATTAGCGTAAACTTGATGAGTCTAAAAAATAAATTACATTATTTAAGAAATAAATATCGTAACAAAAATAAGATTTCGATGTGATTCGCGATTTATATAAATTTAGGCGTTTCATTTTTTTTTTTTTTTAACTACCAATCGCGATGTTTTAATTATAGAGTTATGGGAGATTTTTAGTGTAAATAATGCTCGTTACGGTATTCGGTAAAGCGTAATAACGAATACCAAGCGGGGAGCGTACAGAAATGAATCAATCGCAAAGAGTGCTACTTTGCATTTTCACCAGGTACGAAAATTTGTCGATTACAGCGGCTGTTAAGTGTTCACGTTATATCACAAAAGCATCTGATTTGTCCTTTCACTTCGTATACATTTCCTTTGTTAATTGAAATACACTGCATAATTATTTCATCATAAACGCGTAACGGCAATTCCGCCAAATGGTCGCGGTCAATTGCTTTTAACTTTGTCGGTACATACTCTTTGTCGTCACTTTTATACGTCTTGCTTCCGAGAGAACCATTTGATCTGCCTATGTCGAAACATTATACGGAAATACACGGGGGAGTAAAACGGAAGAGAGAAAGGAATTATGATAAATGCTTCGATTATTATTACGTGCAACGAATGCTGCAAGCCAGCTCCCGGTTTAAGTACGAAGCAGCCGTTAACTGAGGCAGAAAATAATTCAAAGGAATAAAAGATACGTGAAACGAATTAATTAAACAACGAACAAGTAGAAACACGATACTATAATGAAAAAGATACTCGAACAAATTTGTTCAATTAACATTTCGTCATTTGTGTATAGTCTTTTTAATCTATCGACTCGTAAGAATGTTTTAAGGCAAAATTTCCTTTTGTACCGCGTCATCTCTATACGCTATTTCGTTATTTCAATTAACAGTTTCTCTTTAGTGTATTATAGGTATACGAATAGCATAGGTAGACACATAGAGCACGTCAAAAGGACGGATGTTAGTGCGATCATCCGCTAAATGTTACGATTGGGTAAAATAAAAATGTACAGCACCGACGTAATGCTCGTTTGCATCGAGGAAAAATAAAATATAGAAGAAGCATCAGAATGAATTCGAGATATCTGTGATATCTATGGAAGACGCTTTGTTTCTCCCCGAAACGTCACTCTCGTCACACATGAAACGAAATCAAAGGATCGTCGTATTCCATTTTTCAACACTTTTTCTCTATTATTTCCACACGAATGCACCCACGTATATATAGTACAAGTCACCTTTAATACCACCACACAGGTTTAAGACACAATTTCCTTGTTTTGCTCGAATTAATTACGGTCTCCTTTAGCGTCGTCTAATTAACGCCCGCAATCTTCGTAACGGACGGTCCTTCTGGCTCTCCCTAATCGTCGTTCATCGATGAAATATTGTTAGTAGCATCCCTGATCGATAGCGATTGATGGAGCTATTAAATCCGTCAATTCGATACACGGAGAGCGGACGCGGGCCGAAATAACCGGCTTTCATAATTATTCGCCAACATTCATTCTTACAATTACGCCTTATACGCTAACGATATGATCTCGTACGCTGAAAACTTCCGGCAACTTTGTTAATCCATTTCAAGAGATCCTTTCGAGGTGTGTTCGAAATAGCGTTGTCTATCGAGTCGCTTCTTCTAGGATCATTTCAGAGGTATAGCGTGTCTTGGAGCGACGACCGTGTTCGTCTATGTACAGGAAACGACACGGTAGACAACATTAATCGAGTGGTAAATAAGGATCTCGTTGAGGATATTACGAAGAAGTACGACGTCAATTGATTACACTGGTCGTTAGTGAATGGCTTATCAATGATTCAGCAGCGAGGCCAAATAACGATGACGTTAGGAGCGAGAGGTCCGCGTTCTTACCATGCCACCAGGTTTCCCGGCATCCCCGGGTTTTCCGGATTCTCCCCTCAGTCCCATGGGGCCCTGTAAAGAAATATACACGGTTTGGTTAATGATTCGATTAACGGCTATTGGTTCTAATGGCTCGTAGCGAGTATTGATGAATTTTGATCGATCGTGTCAATTTTGCTTCCTTTCGTTCTCTTTGGGTTATTCATGGCATTGATGAGTATCGTACACATTTATTTAGGGAGCTCCTTTCTCTTCTTACGTATTCAATAACGAGGTGAATTTTAATTATCTATACATCGACATAATTAGGATTCTCTTAGGCAAATCAGCTTCCCTAGCTTTAATGATAATATCTCGAATTTTCTTCTAAACGACGTCAAGTATCTATATTTTCCTGATTGATTCGACATCTTGGTATTTTCCCGCGCTTTACAACCTACCTAACCGATAGACCTAATCTTGAGAGGAAAATACGTACGGGTAGTCCCATTGGACCAGGATCTCCTTTGGCACCCTTCTCTCCCTGTAACGTGAAAAAAGGGGTACGCGTGAAAATATGTTCTTAGACATTTTGTTTTATTTCTAGCGAGAATGAAATTAATATTTATATTGATCACAAGAATGTGTGTTAAATTATAAAAGTTCTATATCGTAAAATGATTGTAATAATGCACAATGATTACTGACAGGATCGCCTTTGGCGCCGTCGTGTCCTCGGTCGCCCTTTATGCCAGGTGGACCTTGGAGTCCAGGAGTACCAGCTGGACCGGGTGGTCCCGGAGGGCCCATTATCTGTAAACAATTAATCATACAACGTTGAATAGATCCAAATGCAACACGCGCAACAGAAGTCTACAAGTCACAGTTTATAACGAATAAATTCATTAATTGTGATTTTACTCACCACTTCACCGGCGTTCACCTCAAACGTACCGTCTCCCTATAACGAAACGAATAACGTAGTATGAGATATTTCTATACAGTCTGCGACTCGATATTCAAGATATCGATGGTATCCGATACGAAATATTATAAATGAAATACACGTACCTGCCTTCGCCTGAGTTTTTTGTATTTCTGTCGACGGAAGGCCCGTGTCGCGCCATGAAAAGAAATAGATTTTATCGTCAAATGGTTGAATGCGTGTCGTTAAAATGGTATGTCCTCGATTTCAAAGCAATTGACACGGCGAGTACTCGTCACGCATTGAAACCAAGGACCTCGAATCACTCATAGCGAAAATTGATGGATATTCAACAACCCTTACATTCAAGTACCGCCACTCTATGCAACAATCGATTATATCTTCTCTTTGTCATTGAATGATGAATAGAAAAATAAAAAAAAAAATCAATGGAAGAGGGTTCGATATTCCATCTGTTGAACGTAAAGTACTGGCGAAGAGATCTACTCACCGATTCGCCCTTCTCTCCTTTTTCACCTTTCAATCCGGGATAACCCTGTTTACCGAGAACACTCGTCACGTTAAACATTCATTGCATCGAACGTAGCGATGGGATAAACGACATTGGGAAATAATTTACATACCGGTGGACCAGGTAAACCCGGTGGCCCCATGAGTCCTGGAGGTCCAATGTCACCGTATTCTCCTTTCTCACCTTTAGGTCCAGAGATGCCCTATGGTCAACGAGTATCATGTAATAATAGTTCATCGATCTCAAACAGAACAGATATTACATCGTAACAATTTGCTTACAGGTAATCCTGGTGGACCCTGAATACCAGTTTCTCCATCTGTTCCATTGAGTCCAGCCAAGCCAGGTGATCCTTGATCTCCCTTTGGTCCTGAAAATAGGAATTTATCCTAAATGCAGGTAAATAACACATTTCCATTCACGAAGGCCTGTTATGTTCATATAATTAATAATTTTTTATTTCATTTCGTTAAACGTATCCCGATCTTTTGTTCCATCATACATTCATTCGCATATAGATACACCTTTTTATTCGTTCATTCCGAAAACATTCTTCGTAATTAAATATACGTGTAATTTCTCTTAACGACTTTTGGAAATCTTTAGAGAGTCGATAGAAATGTTCATTCGTCTTCGATCGTGTACTGGGAAGGTAGCTGAAATTAGAAGGAAATTGAAATAGTTTCTAAAAGCTTTTAGGTGAGAATGCCTTCAACCAGATGTAGATGGACTACGTTATGCGAGAGCAGAAGATCTGTCAGATGAAGATTGTGGTGCCAAAGAAAAGCGAACTGTTGCCGACGACAGTGGAGGGTTAAAAAGATCGTTCATCGTCATCCATCTTTTTCTCCTGAATTTCGCGGAAGAATGGCTCTTGAAAATCTACCTGATGAGCCCGTGTCTCCCTTGGCGCCTTTTTCGCCCCGGTAACCCCGTTCACCGGGTTCACCCTTTGGACCCGGTAAGCCGGGTGGGCCTCTCATCAATGCCATACCGCTCTCACCCTTGAAACCCTATAATGTAACACTGTAAGGTCAGGTCCAACCAGGTCCTCCATTTTTTCTTTTTTTTTTTTTTTTTGAAAAATTCTTTTCGTTTCGTTTCGTTTACGCGAAGCGTTAATCAGGTTTTATTCTTAGGAAGGAAGGTACACGGGGAAAGGATTGGTTTTATCGGACATTGTATTTCATTTCTCATCAATTCTGGCATCGTATCGTATAAAGTGGTAGATAAATATAACGTGCCAGAATTGATTCAGTCGACTACGTTACACAATTAACACACGAAATCTAGACACAAATAGTTAACGTTTACTCGAAAACACAAAAAAGTACTACGGGTATCGCATGCAACAATAGGATTGTTTATTAGGGGGATCAAGTTTAGTAGAAACTGGAAGCTTGAATTTTCCTTTCTTCTTTTCTCTCGACTTTTAATTTTAGACTGTTATTTTTGACGAAATCTATCGGGGGATACAAATTTATTTAATTAATATTTTTTATTGCAAGTTGAAACGTTAATGTCAATTAACTCTTAGAGTACAGAGCACCCCATATGGCTAAGTATAATTTTTGATTATTTTCAAAAACAAATTTTAATTTAATATTTTGTTGGAATTAGAATTAATTGAAATTATATTTATTAGAATTAGAACTAATTTTTATAATTTATAGTTAAAATTTTTTTAAATTACCAAGTGTACCACCAATTATGGAACCCCTTGTATGGTATATCTATCATAGGAAATGTATCATTCACAGTACTCTAAGGGTTAAATTTTAATGTATTTAATAAACTAAAAAATATTCTTTACGACGGTCGAAAGAAAGGAAACAAAGAAACGACCGAATAATAAAGAGGAATCAAAACATTGTCGATGATAATAGACATAATTAATACTCATGAATTAGCGGCGTATGGACACGATGTATTATAAAAGACGAATCAATAGTAAAAGCTACATAGTTTCTTTAGGGGGCTTTTTGATACTTACGCGACAATCGCAGGCTTGCATCGATCACCGGTCGATATAGTTGCGAGAGCCTCAAAGCCGGAGGTAGTAGTATTAGTTATTAGTGATTTTGAACCGACACACAGGGAAGAAGTAGTGTGGTGTTACTTTGCTACATTAAACACAAATTAGTTACACAAGCTACGTACACTACGCCAAAGACTACTGACTAAGATAAGCAATCAGTTTCTTTCTCTCATTCTCACTCATACGAATATACCCATGTATACTCTCTTCCTTTCATTTATCTCCTCTATTATTTTACTTTGTCCCTTTTACCAAACACTCGCTATGATTAGGATCTCGCAAATGTTATTTGGACATTGTTAGCTGAATTAAGTTGACGTTGTAACATATTAATTAACAAGGAGAGACTTAGATGTATTCCTTGCTGATTTTAATGGGATGATAGATTTATATTCGTGATAAGGGTAGTAGCAGATGGCTAGAAAATTTTGAGAAAAATAAATTCAAAATCTGGAAACATTCATGGGTATATTTGGGTAGAATAGTGTTCCATTTAATATTGGCCATGGTATAAAGGCAATCATAAGAAAATTTAAATTCCTTTTTTTACAATTATAAAAATATTAATAGAGAAAGAAAATAGAAATCTCCTAAGTTATCCCATGACCACTATTAAATGTAATATTTCATTACTCGAATGTACTCGAGTATGGTTTTTACCAGACTTGGAATATATTTTTCCCCAAATTTAGTTGGAGGGCTATTATCCTCCCAAATTTCATTAAAATGAGCGAGGACCACGTCTAAAGCATCCTTTGTAGGCAGAGGCATTAGAACCTTGCAAACTATGCAAGGATCCTTCAGTGTCACGTTAAGGAGCCCAGGAAATTTGAAGGAACGCGTGTCCGGCATACGATTTCAGCGAAAGCTCGGGCTGAAAATGGCTCAATTTTCTTAGCTGGCCACAGCTGCTGCCTTTATACCGTCGATAAATTTCACAATTTGCCAGAAAAGGACACTCTTTCCATAGAATCCTTTTCGTATGCGTCCTAGAATTCTTCAGCCCGTTTTTATTTACAGTACATACGCGACAGCTATTAAACAGTCTCACTTAGTTAACGATCTAAAATTCCGGGCATTGAACGTTTTCTCCGACACTTCTCGAGGATAAATCTGTCGAGGATACTTACGGTTACACCTTAAAATAGAAACAAGTTAAAAACAGCGATGAATCGGACAACTTTTCTTTTAAAGCCGTGTGGGTTACAGATTTTTTAGTACGCAGGTGTGTAATTTGGCCGCATCCACCAGAAGAGATTTTTTATTTACCTCTTCCGCGAGGTACACCCTCTTATTAACCGCGTGCCTCTTCGGCGACATATGTGTAGCGCCTCTACAAGTAACGTACAAGTATAATATACAACACCGAGCTAAGTTTCGTGTATATCGCTTCGCGTACGTGTTATTTGCTGCCACCAACGTTTTATCTTTATTTTTTTTTTATTCAAAATATCGTTCACGCGATATTTTATTCAAGTTACGTATTATCAGCCTCGAGACGACGATGTGAGGATTTTGGAAAATGTTCTACTTATTTGCATTTATTTTTATTTTGGAATGGAATTCAATTTAGTTTTATTTGTTTAATAAAATTAATATGGTTCTTTTATTTCTGAAATTTCTTAGTAGGTATTCTGATGCTTAACATTAGAATTGGCATTGGATGTATAAATGAGGAAATTTTTTAAATTATAAATAGCAGAATATAATTTGATACAATTTTGGGTGATCTGTATGATTTATTAAGAGACACGAGATGGGTAATCAATTCTTAAAATGTCATAATATTTTTGATATTAATATTGTAGGATATGTTTATTTTCAACACAAGAACATTTTCCATCCATCATCGTCGCGGCGCCGAATGCATTATAACGGCTAATTGTTTTAGTACACTAAGTAAAAAGAGACAGGTGGTCCTATTGTATCATACGTGTTACATGCCGGCATGCGTGCGTGATAAGATCGTGCAAGTGCTTACCGTGATTTTCATGCAGGTGTATTCAAAGCGTGAATAATCAGGCATTTTGAATTTTGGTAATAAGGAAGTTTCCGGTTAAAAGGATCATTTCCCTATTAATATACAAGGTAAAATATTCAAGAAGATGTATCATTTGAATAACTCATTTATTTTTGACGATTAACAAATTAATATTGAATTGAACCCATAACCCATTTTCATTTTAACAAAATTTCATATTTTGTAGTATTTATTTGTATTTCATAAAATATAAAATTTTATCCAAGCAATATCCAACTCTGATGCCTAGTTCATATCAGACGAATATTTAGTTTAATATTTATTTCGAAGTGAGTCGGTCATATTACATAAAATACAACATTTTTAATTCAAAATATCCAGCACTGAATTGAAATTATTGCCCCATATACAGTGTACATACAACCTTCATTAAATACACCCTAGCAAAGGAGTTAAAATACTCTTTAACTATTAAAAATCTATATACTTCTATGAAGCAATTTATTTTATTACTAAGAGTAAATAAATTATTTAAATGATCTATCTTAAATACCTTACCGTGTATAAAAATACATTAAGAAAAGTAGGGGGATTTATTCACAGGAAGATAATTTTGAGGTAAATGGACAAGATAAAACTTTATTTACACAAAAAACCCAAGGAAGGGAGAAAATAAAGATGTAGGACAAAGGTTAAGCCTCGAAGTGCTCGATAGGGGTCAGCGTATTGTTCAAGCAACCAACATTAAACGTTCAAGCGGATTACCATGCATCTTTTCTGTCGGAAAAAAGCCGTAATACGCTTTTCATCGTGCGCTGCATGTCGCAGAGGAATTTCAATACAAAAAGATTGTTTGGAGGAGGTTGTTGAACAGGGATCTCGAAGGGAATGGGGGGAGGGTGAAAAACGAGGAGATACAAGGACAGAGTTTTCTTTTGCAAGGTTTTCCGTGGAAAGTTTGGTCAATTGTTAGGATGGAATAGGTTGTACGGTCGATTTGGTTGGTGGTCGTTCGCCGGAGGACCTCGCTGAAGCTTACCCTCTTCCCTTGCTTTCCCCGGGCACCCTTCTCTGCCGTCGGACCGGGTGGTCCCGTCGGACCCAGCTCCCCCTTCTCGCCCTTGGGCCCTGTGTGCGTGTATATCACGTGCATAAAATAAAACATAACATTCGTTCGTTTCGCACACGCTCTCCCGTTCTCATACGAAATTATTTCCATGTATAGATATATGGGTTAACACTGTCCAACAGCCATTTTATGTTCCTATATTTAATTTAAGTAGAGATGATATTCAAGTATGTATTAATAAAAAAAAAGACATCTGAAATGTGTTGAACAGTGTAATTTGCTCGAGAAACTCGTTCGTTTAGGTTTGCACATTTTCGATTTTGAATTAAGGATTGTTCTTGCATTGAAGTCGAGATGGTAGTACGTAAGTGTACACGTTAAAACCTTGACAATTGGTGCATGTGTAATAAATATTCCAATAAAGATATATTATTATCTTGATAGCACAAAGTAAAAGACAATTTAAAACTGAACGATGAATTCCAAATGTCTGATATTAATAAGCTCAGCCCACGGTTATTGGTTATGAGAAAGTCAAACAGTGTTCAAATTGCCCTTTGAAATAGAGAACCATTAGAGTGATAAATAACTTGCGGAAAATAACTGCTAGAGGGGAGTTGTCAGTCGAGCAAACTTAGTGATTCATGACGAAGAGATGGGTGGTCACTCAACACAGATATTACTTATTCCTTTATGTAATATGTATCGAGTTCGAATTTAAAATGCATAGTAAGAGATTCAAAAGTTCTTGGCCTATTTTTGAATTATTGCTATTATTTAAAATAATGAAATTCCTGAAAGAGATTTTAATTTTTAACTTCCATTAATTAATTTCTACTTTCACGATGTTACATCGAAATTTCTTAATAGGAACAGATCAATTTTATCAGAATTATTTCCGTAATTTTCAAAAAAATTAACGACCGTTTTCCTATCGAAGGAAGAGAAATGGAATCGGGACAATGAATCGACCTAAGTCTCGAGCTTTCCGTACATATGGTTGATCGTAAATCGTTTCGTGTGGTGTGTGGTTCTCCACACACGCGTGTACGCGGACAAATGACCGTAAGAAAGTGCAGAAAACGAGTGATTTACCGTCTGAACGGTCGTTTCCTTTTCGAATTAGCTCGAAACTCTTTCCGTTTTGCGTGCGTACCGCGAGCGGATTTATATCGTTGCAATTATACCAGCGATTTCACGCGCGATTTCTCACCGAGGGTTACAAGCATACGTATATCCTCGATTTATTCAACTTGATTTCGAGACGACAATTATTAATCGTTTCGTTTCATTGAATATATATGTAGAAAAAAGATTTTTGATAATACTATATAATTTAATTAATGAATATCCTTCTGAAAATTATACAAATTTCTATTTTACTAATTGCTCGTCGCAAATAATGCTCGACGCGATAATTTAAAGCGCCACATCCTGTGTTCATTAGAACGTCTCCTCGCGGACGGGTAAGCAGAAATTTTCTGTCGCTTTGAACTAATGCGAACAGATAGAAGATGAACATCCAGACCGACGCGACGGTATGCATTTGCAAATGTTAAGACGCACAAATGAATTCGACTAACAGTCACGTTTCTAAAAGCATTAACTGTACTACGTTCCAGTGGATCGGAATTAAGACTGTACGGTGGTGGCCGATAGAGGCACACCTTTATGCAAATCAATTCTAATGCAAGAAGGAAGCAGACTCGCGTCGACTACATAAGTGAAATCTGCTCACGTACACTTTGTGTGCGTGCATCCAGTTCGATTCTCTGTTTGCTATTGATCCTACTACTTATCCATACACGTTCACTCGTGTACCGTTAGATGCAACACGATAAGGGTATGTTACAATTGCACATAATTATATCTTTGAAGATTTATGTTTTCTATAATATATTCTATCGTTTGAACTCTGTAACGAGGAGGCTCGTGACCCAGATACACAAAATTAAAATTAGACACTGAAATTTCTAAATGAAAGCCTTTCATGTATTGGGAAAATAATATAAGAAATGAAATTATGAAATGAAAATAAAATCTTAGTTTCATCATCTAAGGGTTAATTTTGTTAGTATTTAGAGTAATTTGTGAATAAGGACTCAAATGACCAACCTACTTCCAATTTTGATGAAATTTTCCAACAATATTGAACTCGAAAAAATATTTGACAGGTGCCTCTTTTTATCGACAGTCATCGATACTGAAGAGGTGAAAATAGCTCTCGAAATTGGGGTTGGAAAATATGTTCAGTCGAATATATTGGAAATTGAAGAGAAAAGATTTAAATATATGGCTTATATGTTTTTGGTCATTGGGTCCGTCATTTGGTTAAAGCAAATGTTTTATAATCATATCACCCTTGTTTGAACCGACTGACAACGTGTCATATAACAATGATTTATAATTTCGCCAGAGGATTTTTTTCATAAAACTATATATCATGGATATATTTAGGTGTTTTCATTTAAATACTCCACTTTTGTAGAGGTGGGTTAATATCCAAAGCTCAACGGAGTTTCAATAAACACTAGAAACAGATAGGAATATTGGTTTCCAACTGTTTATCTGAATTGTTTATGAACGGTATAATACAAGCAAAGTACCATCCCGAGATAGCTTACAAATTATTCATGGAGAGATTTGCCTGATTACGAGATGCTGGACCTTGCAATTTTAGATTTCATTTTATATTTAAAGAAGATAGCTTTGCAACTTCTGTAACGTAGATACGCTACGAAATTACTAGTAGTATAAAATAATGCAAACGAATATATATATGAATGTCACGGATCGCAACAGGTTTTGAACATCGAACCGACCATGTTCGAATGCGCTCTTCGTATAATTATAAGCAACGGTGGCGATTTGAGAAGCTCGAAAAACCGTAATTCATATCTTCTTATGTGGTCGTGTTATGTTTCTTTGATATATTATGCGCGCGGCTATCAGTCTTGGAAGAATTTAAATTATACCGGGTATATGCTTACCAGGTGGTCCTGGTGGACCGGGCGGTCCCTCGAATACTCCAGTTGGAAATGGTTCCCCGTTCAAGGACGTTGTTATACCGCGATCACCTTTATCACCCTTGTCACCCTGCGGAGAAATTAAGGTAATTTCAATTAACGAATGATTTACCTCCATACTAACAAGTTTATCTATTCGTTTAGGTAATTCGTTGAACGTCGGACTGGAACAAAGGAATATGGCGGCAAGTACGTTACGTCAAAAATCGAAATGGAAAATTTCTTTTTTCTTTTCAAGAAAATAAAAATTACCTTAGGACCTGGTAGTCCCGGCGTACCAGCCGGACCAATCGGTCCAATAGGTCCTGCTGTTCCTTTTTCACCCGCTGGTCCAACATCACCCGGAGTTCCTTGTCTGCCTTCGTGTCCGGGAAGACCTTCGGCTCCCGGAGGACCGGGTGGCCCAGGTGGGCCAGGTTCTCCTGGCTCTCCCTGTTACGTTCCAAGAGTGTTACGTCGTTACCGCTTTCTTCCGGCGAGAGCCCTCGACAAGAGTGTCTCTCGGTGCTCGTCGGTTTGTGCCACAAGACGGAAGGAACAGGAAAGGAGCAGTGGAAGAAAGCTGACGGTGGTGAATATACAAAGTGGCAGACAGAAGAAAAAGATAGATAGGAGGAAGACGGTAGATTCGAGAGAAAAAAGTGAAACAGGTGGAAGAGGATCGCGGATAGACGTAGAGAAAGCGCGCGGGCAAACTGTGCGTGGAAAGGCATTTCTTCTGATGTCACGTGAGTATACAAGGTGTTCAAGTAATTAATGACTCGTGTAACTTAGCAGAAATATTGAAATTCAGGTGTGTTAAAATTAAGAGAATTTCCATGTTCCACAAAACGATACATGCCATTTGCGAAATTGCATATCTGTCGTGTGATATTGCTGAATTTGCTGACGTGCGTTAATGTAATATGGATATTCGATTGCTGAAAATTTGAAATTTAATGTCACCTAAAAATGACATAAATGCATACCAATTTGACTATTGCAAAAATTCTTGTTTTAAAAACATTATCGTCTGAAATTTCATCTCTGACTTCATATAAGTGATGAAAAATTCATCGAGAAAAAGGCGTTGAAAGAAGCCTCCTCCAAGCATTTGTTCTCAAGAACATACTCGCTTATGAAACCAATCTATTGTAAACATAACTAAAGAGGAAGCTTGAAAGAAGAACTTCAGAAGAATATGAAAACACTTTTAGAAGTGAGAAATGCTAGTTGTACAAACACGTGTGATGAGTTATCTATCCACATACCGACTTCTATTTATAAGCTTCTTCGAGGGTACTCTAAACATGGGTGGTACTTTTAAAAAAGAATTCCATTATCAAAGATAATAATTTTATGAAATTTTTCTTATTCTGTTTAAAAGCTCTTTTCAATTTTGTGGATTTAATTTCTCTTCTAATGGAATATTACATTCTCCTTTTAATATTTTACTCTTCCTCTTTAATGGATTGCTGTATTTTTAATTTGGTAATATTTTTAATGTGTGAAGGCAGCAAAGATGAATTTAACTTGAAATTTTTTAGAATTTTACACCACAGCATTTACTATTTTCTAAAGTTGTTGAAGTAGTGATTTCATAAATTTATAGAAATTTATGGTAGAAGGTGATAGATTTATGATACATTTTTATCGTACTTTGCGAGTGTTTTCAAGAATTTCAGTATTTTCCTCGCACAGTTTTCTGTTTTTAGAGCATCATGCAAACACCTCAGGTAACTTTGAAAAAAAATGCAAGTACCGCAATTTGGTAAAAGCTTTTCAACGAGATCTGTCTACTTGGTAGTATTACAATATAAAATGTAGTAAAAGAAACGGATGATTTGAAAATTTTGCCTACAAATAATTCTTTGTGAAACTGCCTAATATCTTTTGTATTTTGAACTATAAATATAGATTGTTATACAATACAATCTTCTTAGGGATATAAAATTTTCGTCTCATCGATCACATATTTAAAAATGATGAAGGTTACTTGTTCTACTTAATTGGAATATAAATTTCAATGTTACTAATTGTGGAACTTCGATAGCAATTACAAACATTTTACTATATCGTACGTAAAGTCATGCAATCTGGAAATATACACAGGTGAGCAAGGCATACGTATTCACATACATACACACGGACGTACACAAGTTTGTACATATATTTACACATACGACTTGGATGCACATTCGCCTAATCAAATACGTAGTGTACAGTGTAGAACAAAACTGTTCAGCTATTTGAGCTTACTGTATAAATTTAATCATATAAATTACAATATTCCGGAAAAATGGTTTCATTAGTTAAGTTTTGTTTCTCACTGTCTACTACATTTTTCGAGAGATAGTAGTAATAGAAAAATTGATGAAACATAGAAAAATAGCATGCAATACACGCACGTGCACGCACCCTCGTTCCGATGGATGCGTTTGAATTTGCGTGAAGTATTTGAAGGTGGAATGACATGCAGAAAGACCAGGACCGTGCTATTTTTTCTCACTTCTCGTCCTTTTCCTTATCATTTTTTGTCTTTCTTTTCTGAACGTGTTCTAGAGGATACAAAATAAAATTTTACGAACAAATTAAATAAAACGAGCTACTTAACTGTTAAGTTCTGCTTAGAAGATGATAGTATACTTTAAAATAATTTTCACTAAAAACAAAATCTTTCTTAACAATGAATTTTTCAATTTCGAGGAAAGTTTAAAAATGACTATCTTTAATTTAATTATCTTAGTACAGATTTTGAAAATCCAAATGAACTTATCTAACAGCAAAGATTGATTCGTTATACTTCCTACACGGCCCTGAGGAGAAAGGTTCAAAAGAAAAAGATAAAATAAGAAGGTGCCAGGTAAATGTACATGTTTCTTATTGTGATAGACGGGCATAAAGATGAACTTCAATACGTTTCATTCTTCTTCACAAGAAACCTATTCAAAAATTCCTTTATGCACGTCATTGTTCAATTCACCAGGTAGACGATGCATACATAAAAAAGCAAATATTCAACAAAAAATTCTATATAACAAACATTAATTTTTTCTTTCCTCTTAATAATACATTAAAAATCAATATTTATTATTTTCAAAATTTCTTTCGTATTAAATTTGTATTTAATTATTATTTAATAGATATAGTTTGTAGTTGAATCTTTGTCTTATTCAAAATTGGTACCAGGTAGCAATTAAATGATTTGGGCAACTATGGTTTTGCATGAAAAATAGAGCTAATTTTCCAGAAATAACTTTTCTGCAAATAGAGTATGAAATCGAATGCCTGGAGAATCGATGATAAGAAAAGGGGAAAAGGGGATCGGGTAGAGGGAGGAGGGGCTCCGAAAGAGCAGGCGCACTTACTTTCAGTTGTATGATGGTCTGCGCTGAGATATTATGCCCTTGCTCCTGAAGTCCCTAGAAGTAGGTCAACACTACGGGTAAAAACCAAATCGCTACCAGACGAAAACATAGAGAGGGGTTTCGGGGTTTCAACGGGGGGTAGGCGGGATAACCTAAAATGGATCATTTGGGGTATCTCGTTTCTCATTGCTCTTCCGAATCCAAGACATGCCCAGAGATATACCTAAATACTGTAACTTAAAGTAAATACCATTACCAACCAAAAAACCAAATACATTAAAGTGCGACGATCATTTTCAACCCTAAGACCAACCACTTCGATATAGGTAAATATTTAGCTACAAAAATTCTAAAATAAGTCAATTAACAAAACTCATCAATCCAATTAAATTACAGCCATTCTAAAAACAACTTTTCCTCTCCTTTGCGTGTTCTCGCAATCTAGGAAGAGAGTAGTCGCGAAACGAAGCGGTTTTCTCCTCGGTTCGAAGCGTCGTCGCACTTTAAACCAACCATTTAAACCAACGAAGAGAACGCTACACCGAAAGCACCGCACGAGGCAACGACTAGAAATAGGATTGCGTCTAGGAGCGCGGACAGGGAACACGAGGTGGATGGGTCACCAAACGTGGAAACAAAGTAGGAGTCGGCGAAGAACGTGGATACATGGTGATGAAACGGTGTGGGAGGGAACAAGATGAGGAGTAGGTAACAGCAAAGAGGAGAAGAAGCGGACGAAGAAAAAGAGAAGAAGCGGGAGCAGCGACGACCAGAAGAGATTTCTGAACCGCAACACGAGCCCTGTTGCCTTTCGAACAGGCCGGTTACCTTCAGAGCGACGATTTCCGCATAGCCGAGTGTCCCGCCGCGGAGCGTCGTCACCGACCTCTTTAACCCTAATCCCTGTGCATTGACCCGTAGGCGGAAAGATGGTTTATATTGTTAATCTGTATCATCGAAGATCGATGCGTCAACGAGAAAAAAAAAGAGAAAAAAATAGTGCCTCGCGCCAATGGCCCATCAAGAATCCGTGTAAAAACGTTGATCCGTTTTAGCTGGGATTAACGTTGTTAACAAGTGGTTCGCGATGTTCAGAGATTCGATCGACAATTTTCAGCAATTTTCGGATATCTGTTTTCGGCTGTTATTCGAATGATCATCGGCCACGAATTTGGTATCGAATGAAAAATTATTAGATATTATTTTCGAGTATTTTCATTAAAATTGGAATAATTCCTAAGTCTGTTTTTAGCTGTTTCAGATCGTTCGTTAACCCTTCGAGGAGAAATGGTGTCTCATCGAGATCAAAAAGTCTTCATGCTACTCGAGCTTTACAATCCGTGCTTTGTTAACCCTTTGAGCATTATAGACACGTACGCGGTCTGTTACAAAAGTAATGAGACTGAGTTTTTGAAATGTAGGTTGACGATGGTAGGTACAGAAATAATTGTACCATCGTAATCGCGAAATCTGGTGAACAAACAATAACAGAATACTAGAGACGTACTAAAATTCAACAATTCTTATTTTTAAAAATTATAAATTATTTAGAAGTTTCTTATTATTGAGAGCATTCTAAAAATTTTCCAATGATTCATAAAATAATATTTACAATAGAATTTTTATCAATGAAGTAAGTGAAAAATTTGATTTTTCATAAAATAATAGAAATACATGGATTCTTGATTACCACGTGGCAAATAGTTAGCGAGAATCAAGGAAACGCACAATCTATACTTTGGTTCGAGAATGCTGTTTCTGTTCCCAAAGTACATCTGCGTATATGTACATGTATAATATTTGCATCGTATTTGATGCAACAGCTATCAGCTATTTGAGCTACTAAATATTAGTTAACATTAATTGCAATCAAGAATGAAGCCGTTGTCCTCGATCATCGAGCTAACGAGAAACATCGAGATTCACGGTTCTGCAGTTTGTAGAAAATGCCTGGTAAATGTTGCTTCTATTACGTACAAGAGAAACGCTGTTTCAATCGGATAATTTGATCAAAGGGAATGTAATTTTGTCTTTTATATCGATGATTTATATTTCGAAATTGATATTCTATTTAACAGATGTCGTTACTGTAAATGCGATTAATAATTTATATTACAATTTCACTTTTCTTTTATAATTCAATTTTTATTTTTAATATTTTTTCATTTACATTAATATTTATTCCATTTACCTCAATGCAATTCACCAGATATAAAACAGAAAAGCAAAGGATTTCTTTAACCACTGATATAATTAATATCTCCATTGAACCTTTATTAAAAGTACATCGATATTATCCGATTGAAACTGGTTCTTTTCTCTCATAATACCAGCTGCTTTGATAAACGTATCCTTAAAGAAATTGCATCGTTTCATCTTTTATCGTTTCTTTATCTTCAAATCTGTTTTTTCATAATTTAAAATCTTCCAGTTTCTTCCGTCTTATCTATTTGCAAATGCTGGAGCAGCAAGGTAAAATTGAACAAAAATTCTCTCTTCTAAAACGTAGGGAGCATAGCCGGGGAGAGAAACGATGCATTTTCGCATTACGTACGTTGTTCTCTGGCAGCGTAATGCGCTCTCGAGCGCTATTTCAGTTTCTCTAGACAACGTAGCTAGATACCTTTACTGCGGAGAAGACGTCGAACCCTGGACTTCCCAGCTCTCCTTTCTGCCCTTTCTCGCCGGATCGACCCTGCAAACGAAACACACCTTTGTATTTGATCGAAAAATAACGGCAACCCGCGGTAAAACTGGAAACAAAAGCAGTCTGTGTTTTGACAAGCTCCGAGGAGGTTTTGCCACGAATTTAGCCCGCTAACTTTTACACGGTATTACCGAGTACGGTTTAAGCGCCGCTTCGCCAACTAGATCCAAGCACGTTTTTGTACATTTCAAATTCTATTTCCGGCTTTGTACAAATTGTTCTTCACCGAAATATGCGTGTAGCCTCCCAACACTTTAATTGTTTATTTCGTTAAATTTTTAATTCAGGAATTTCTTATGGATGGGTAATTCGTGAAAATACTGTGCACAATCGTGCACATCCAATTTTGTTAGCTGACGGATGAATTAATCAGGAAAGATACACCGTCGTTAGATTTTAATGCTAGAAACATTGAACGGTTCAAACTGAGCAGAATAATAGTCGGAACAGAAAGTTCTAATAATATTAACCCAATATTTTATGGTTTCTTTAAACGATTGCCTCGTACCCGCCACTTGAAACAATCGATCGACTTCCAAGAAGGTAGACCACACAACTGGTGATATTTCTTCGTTGAATGTAAAAGTATTGACTGGGGATGTTAGATGCAAATATTAAGAATGCCTTGTCTGCTATCTATGCACACACTCGAATTGAATGCGAATGGGCAGCGTGTACATCCATACACTATTAGTCAAAAGTTTGGTATCGTTACATGAAGTTTTATTTATTACAAAATTAATAAGCAATATTTCTTACATTTGCACCATTTATTGCAAGGAGACAACTAGTGTCTTTTTCTTTTCTTTTTTAATTGGAGTTTGTCGAAGAAGCCACTCTTAATATTAATATTTTTTTAATTATTTTCAATTTGATATTTCCTGTAATAATTTTCAGAGCTGAAAGAAAATATTTTTTCCAAGCTGTAGAAATATTCAGGTCAAGGGTAGTTTTAAATTAGGATTAAGATTTATAAGAGTACTTCAGGTATTTAAAAAATGTTAAAATCTGTAATGGATTTATATAAAATTCAGCAAAAATCTAATTTTGACAGAAACCAGTAACTTTTGACCAATAGTGTAGATATTGAGTAAGGGACGAGTGGAGTTCTCGCGTGAGTCGATCGAAATTCTTTCAACCCGACCGTCGCCAGAACAAATATCTTCTGATATTTGCAATGCACTCGTACTTCCTCATCCCCCCTCTATTTCCATGCCTTTTTTCTTGTCTCTACGTATTTGTACATCCGCTCGTACGATCCGTCCCATAGATTCCTCTGTTATTGTTCAAACGGCAAAATGCACCTCGTGCAATACAAACTGACTATAATATTTCTGAGATGAAACGTTTATAACTCCCATGAAGCAAATTTTCCCAGATGGTCATTTTCGACAAATGTCAGCAAATTTCACTTTTGAAAGAATAAATATTTAATAGAAATTATATTTAAAATAACACACAAAGATAAATGATTTTTTGTTAGATACTTTTTTACAAAAATATAATCAAATGTAATATTATTGCAATTATATCACACATAATTTGTAGGTGGGATTATACCAAATCATAGAACAGCAAACAATTCAATTTAATTCATGGAACAATTTGTTGATCTCATTTACATGTGTATCTGTAATTAACACCTACAGCGTTACACCTATATATTACGATTAATGTAATGATCATTTATTTATGTCTTTCAATTTAAATAATGGTACTTCAAGTTTCGTCTCTTCTCATTAATAATTTCTTGATTTTATTGTCCAACGTTAATACTTATCATTAATTATTCCATAAGGGTTGAAGCTACTGTATATACCAAAAAAAATCTAAATTTTCTAAATAACATTAAAATACACAAATTGTACGTGAACTTACCGGTTCACCCTTTGGTCCATCTAACCCGATAGGTCCCTGAAAGAACACACTGATAAGTTTGTATGATCAGTCGCAGGGAAAACGAGAGAAAGTGAAAAATCGAAAAGGCTGTGGGTAGCCTTTGAAAATAATCATTCCCTGTGTATGTAACATGGACGTATGCGAGCATACGATAAATAGAGGCATCATTGAGCGTCGTTGTACATCAAACTGCTTCCAAATATGACTATTTTATTAATTATTTAGCAACTATGAAATATTGAACATTATTTAATATTTTATCAAAAAATTTGCATATTTTGGACAAAGATTTCTCAATTATTTTCTATTTGCAATTTCTACCTCTGCTGGCATGAAACTAAAGCTTCATATTTGGAAGCAAACGAATTCCAATTTCACGATGGATACATGTATAGGCATAAATCTGATACAATAGAATGAAGTATTAAAAAAAAAAAAACGATGACAAAAAAAATGGATGTTGCGTCAAAGTTCAGGAGACAAAGCAGAGATCGACCGAATGGAAGAATTAAAACAAAAAACATAGACAAAGAGAGAAAACAATCTACATAAAAATGCGCTAATAGAAAATACAATTTAGTTGGTGTTATGTGCAATCGTGTGATAGATAGGGCGAATGGAGTATAGAAGAACATAGATGTGAACAGATACAGACAAGATAAAGAGACAGAGGAATGGAAAGAAAATAACAAAATAATATACCGGAAAACCGTTCTTGCCCGGCGTCCCGGCCACACCCTGTAAGAAGGGGTATACAAAATTAAAAACTCGTTTATACAGGACAAGGGTTAAGTACTTTCGCGGTTCATGCAGAAGCAATTATCCGCGGACCAATCGTGTTCACGATACACACCCCGGTTAATAATTCTATCACCCTGATAAAATGAAACAAATTATCAGGTTATCCATCTCGTCGTGAATGCACATTCGATGAACTGTCACGCGTATACCGTGTGCATCGATAGTTATAAATTCGTGGAGCCCTACGTATGTACCGTTAGCAACTACACCATGCATCGAACTACACTCTGCAACACGCACACTGCACGTGCGAGCACGACGGGTGCAACTACGGGATGGAGAAAGGATAGGGTTTGCATCGGCGGAGGAACCGATGTACTCACCTGCGGGCCTGGTTCCCCGGGGTCACCCTTTTTCCCCTTTTTCCCCCTTTTTCCGGGTGGACCTGGTTCACCGGGAGGACCTGAAACGAGAAGGAAAAAAATAAATTCATACGCGAACTTGAGATAAAATTTCAGATTATTTTTCTTTTAATAATTTCTTTTGTAAAATTTGAAACGTAATGTTATTTCAAATAGCTATTTCTTATTCTAATATCAAATAAAATGTTCGCAGGTCCGGCTGGCGACAGAAGGGTGAAAATGAGTTTTCAACGACGCGAGAGGGAAACAGGGCTCGTAAAAGAGGAGACGGTAACAACGGACCCAAGCAAAGAATGGAACAGCTATGTAGATCGAATCCTGGAACAAAGTTACTTTTCTTGCTCGTTGTTCAACGTCAAAGATATTTTGGAAAATTGATGCGAACCTGCGCCGTTATGCAACGGGAAATCGATCGATTTCAGGGGGTTGCGTGTAATTTTGAGGGACGCTCCAGGATTGTCCCTGTGTCTGTCGGATAACGAAGTTTCTTGTAAACGCATTTTCGCGTAAAGTGGAATATAGCGAAGCGAAAAAAATTATTTGAAACGCTTTTAACGCTCCCCAACAACTTTTCCATTTTATCGCCGAGACGGGATTATTCTTGTTAACGTGACCGAAACACGTTGCCCAACGAGTGTCATTTGTAAGTACCTTGTTTATTACTTGCATTATTTCACAAAACATTTTATTTACATCTTCTTTCTTTTTATTTAATATAATTATTTTTTTTCTACGTAAATGTTAGTCAAATATTAGAATTGAATAAGCGTGAATAATCTTAGAAAATAATTTTCTGCTTCCTTGAACAAGGTTCGATTGTTTAGCTTCTCCTTCATTTTTCATTTATCGTCGCCAGTGACGGTCCTAGTACGGAGTAATGTGTTCGAAAGAGAATAAAAGCTACAAAACGTTGATTGAGAAACAGCTAGGGAAAGGAAAAGGACAAAAAAGCGAGGGGGATTGTCGAAATGAGCAATATTAGTCGGGCGTGAAGTAACTTCCGTGAACTTTTTTACAATCCAAGCCACGGATATAAATCTCCTCGCCAGCTGACGAGAGGGAAAAGATGAAATAAGAAACGTGCTAACAAGGAAAGTTCGAGGGTCGATATTGGCAGATATTGAGGGAAGTTGAAAAACAATTCTTCCTTCGGGTCATGATGTACGAAAAACTTGACAAACAATTTTCTACAAGTTATAAAGTCACTTTTTTCATCGTATCTTCAATCTAATGGTACTTATGATTAAATTTGTACTTTCAATTTGAAATTTATCAAACATAGAAATATTATTCATAAAGTTCATTTATTTTTAAGGTTTTTAACAATTACAAATGCAAGCATTTGAATACTTTTGTAAACGACTGTATCATTTCGTTCTTTTACCACCATCACTGTCATCGGGTACAATTTTAAAGCGTTCTCTACCTCGCTTCTTGCCAAAAAAAAAAAAAAAAACGAAAATGAAGGTAAAGGAGAAGCAAATGGTATGTTTGTGTGCACCGATGCATCCGCCCATCAGAGGATTATCATCAACAACGAACACGGTGAAACCAATGAAGACATCTGTTTGATACCCTCTGCTATTACGAACACGGTGCACAGCAAGAAAAATAAGAACGAAAAGTCAGGATGGTAGTGGATTTAAGTGGGACGGAAGAAGAAGAGGCAAGGATAAAGGGTAGAGTAAGAACAAACCTCTAACATGGAGGATACAAGGCACGAGAGGCAAGGCAATCGATCGTCGTACTTACAGAAAACTAAATAAACTCAACTAACTAAAGAAGAAAGTCTCTTGGTAAAGCAGCTATTTTCCTCCTGTTTCCTTCTTTCCTTCTATTTTCTACTTCGCTTCATTCTTCCCACTTTGCTACCCACTCATCCTCCTTTTTCTCTAATGTTTTCTCTACCTCCATTCCTTTCGACCTACCACGCTCTTTTTTTATACAAAAAGTTTAAATTAAAAGAAACTTCTGAAATTGATTGTTTCATTACAGAACCGTTCAAATTATTTCACTGAACAACCGAGGAGAACAATTTTATCACCTCAACCCTTTGGACAACCAATGCTTCTTATGGTCAATGGAGAAAATTTTATTATTATCAATTGCGAGGTTTCAAAAATCTATTTCTTCAGAAATAAAAATTAGGAAAATTATGTGCACTGAAGAATCAATTTGAAAACAGCTGTTACAGTGAAGTATATATTACAAATTCTACCAGAATCCAACATCAAACATCGTATTAACCATCTGAAAATTATATGTCTGTAGGAAAATCTCAGCCAACGTGATCTATCAACATAGGAAAGCTCATTAAAATCAGAATCGGTCAGAAGGGAGGCTGTCCTTGTTAGAGTAGTGGTCAAACCGCAGAAGCTTGGGTGAATCCCCGAGAGTAACGGGTAAAGTTACAGGAAAAAGCGGGAGAACTGTGTGATCGGTGTGCTGAAACTTGCCAGGCCGCAAGTGTCCGCTATTTCCGGTTTAAAAGATGGTGCACGGGGCAAGGAGACGAATCGCTCTCCTGTTTCTGGTATACGGTAGTATCGCGGTGCCTATGGGTGCAGTAGAAGGAAGAAGGAACCTTGCGGTCTAGACACGACGAAAATACTCGACTCGTTCGGTGGTGTACAATAAAACGGTGCTTTTGCATCCCCGTTTCGCTCGCCTGGAACAGTTGTTCCCGTAGGAACGGTCTCTGGCGTTAGGGGGAAACACGCTCGACCCTCCGTGAAAGTCTTTCGCGCGAATAAGAACGAGATTAACGCGACGCTTTGGCAGCGTTCCGAGGGCAAGGGACCTAAGGCGTGTACGCATTCGCACCGAACTAACGACACTTCGTTTTCGTTTACAGAATAGCTTCAGGCGGCCGGAAAATGAGCGACCGATACAAAAGGTTCTCCTCTGTGACACCAGGTAGCAAGCTTGAATCCTTTGGGAACCCGACTCGTATCGACGATTGCTCGTTACGAGCTTTCCATCCACCCACTGTCACGTTGAATTTCTTAATCGTGTATACTTCAAACTTCCATCCTCCCCTTTGTATTCTATTCACGAGTTTCCAGCCTCGTACATTTTAGCCCCGGGCTAAATAACTTAACGGTAACCCGAAGGAATTGAACCGGTGCGAGAATTGGGTAACTTTGGAGAATTCGTGAAATTAGGATAACTGGGAGAGATATTAAAAATACAGGTAAATTTTACGATACGATTGAATCTTTACGAGGTGATAAAAGAATGGTTCAGAAATTTTAGACCAGATTCTGCTTTTCAGCACAAAAATAATTTCAATTTAAATCTTGAGTCTTTAGAAACAGAATACAGGGAGTAAGAGAATAATAGAGAAAAATAATTTAACGTAGTATAGGAACAAAAATTGTTTCAATTTATTACGGTGCGAACGTATAGTATAGGAGAAAATCGGTTTCCCCTCGCTAATGGGAAACAGCGTTTCTTTCAATACACGTGTGTGTACGCGTTTTCCTCTATTTTTCAGAGTCCATTTTTATTCATTTTGTTTCTAATATTGTATAAAATGCACCATTTAATTTTTTAAACAAAACCAAAGTTATTTAAATTCCATCACCTAACAAACAGTAAGATGGTTTTCTAATTAATTAAACGTTTATATGATCATTTTCATAAAACTTAAAGCTTTAAATTAATGTATCGTGAATGCAATTTTGAAATACTTTTATGTCATGAAATTTGATTGTAGATTTTCAATATTTTGTTATAATTCAGGTAAATGATAAAATTGAGAATCACTGAGGCCGAGAGCCGAACTGACAGAGTAGGAAAGCAAATCCGGGGTGGCGGAAGGTAGGGCAGAGTAAAGGAAACAGGGAAGGTAAAGGTAGAAGAGAGCGAGCGAGCGAAACTAGGGACCTCACATGTCGTGGCCGCGGGGCAGTACGGTTATACAGGGCCCAGCTCCGATTCCCGCCCCGGTAGTTTCCCATGATTGAGATACGTAATCGTTACTCCCCGATGTATATCCTGCGTACTCACCGTTCTCGAGAGCATTTCGTGCTCCCGCACAGAGATGCTCCTTTCTTTCATTCCCCTTTACCCATCCATTCCCACTTTCCTATACACACATCCACCCGTACCGGGTAGTCCTTTCTCTAAAATGTAGACTTTAAATCATGTCCTGTCCACCGACGAACGTCTCGATAGAATCGAGCGCCGACCATGAAGAGAACGGAGGCGTAGTAAATTCGCAGGCTTCGTGGATTGTCGGTGGTCTTCGTTATTCAGATAAGCGCATTTCGTATGCTCGAATGATGGTTTATGGCTAATATATTCGACCATCATCTCGATCATTGTGTTTAGTAGACATCCTTTTATATAGATATCCCGATTCGAATTCCAAAATTGCTAGGGAAACGTTAGGAATGTTTTCCTATATAGTAAAAACATTTTTAAAATTGTTAACTGCGCCCATTATTCCGTTCACTTCCTGTAGAATCACGAATTCTACAGTGATTCAAGAGAACCTTCCGCAATCTTCATCCCTCCACTTCAATCGCGCAACAACGTTCTTCCATCAAGGAATCGGGTTTAAATCACAAGCAATTCAATTGCCGCAAATTTTCAAGAAACCTCTTACGATTTTATCAGTGGGGTAGGGTATCGCAAATACGTATTCATACTGGTGGCATCACCTGCCACTGCTTCTCTTATGGACGTCCACCGTATAATATATCCATTAAGAGGATTATCGAGGAAGATATAAGAACATGGACTCCCTTTCTGATGTACCATGGACGATTTTAAAGAGTCCTTCTTATGTGACAGTATAAAAAATTCAAATTTTTATAATTCTACATTTTGCAAATATAATGCAGGATGTTTTAATTAATCCTTAAGTATTATGGATAAATATCAAAACTTTTCCTCTATTTCTTCTTTTCTTTTTATAAATAAAATGTCAAGATATTTTACAGGATTAATTTAATCGTGAAAGCGTTAATATAACTCATGTGTGGTATAGAATTTGATTTCCAAGCAGAATCGTGTATGTTCGCCTGATTTTATCGACGCAGGACGAATCGTAGTAGCGTATGCAATTCACTCGAGTAACGGGTTGCGTTGTGGTAAAAGAGAATTAACGAATTCCCGGAGGACCCCGCGGACTGATAATATCGCGGGCCATACGTGTCCAAATGTATCTTCCCGATAACGACAAAGCCGCAATTACCGTGGATCAATGCCCGTTTCTGTACGGTTACTGCATAATGGCCAATAACCGTGTTACGAAGCGGTGTTAATTTGTTTCGAAGAGCCTCGGTTAAACAGAGCTACCTGCAAAACGTTTTTCGATGATCTCCCTATGTAACGGTACATTTGATACCCTTCAACAATCAATTCGTGGTACGAATTTTACAAAAATATTCGTAGGAAAATTGGAATAAAAAATAAATTTTATTCTTGGATTAGACGTGATCGAATTAAATATTCAATTTTAGTTCTTAATTAGAGGAAGTTTTAATTAATCCAAAGTTATTCATGAATTGAAGCACATTTTCAATTAAAATAGAATTTTTATTTTTAATTTCACAAATTTTAATTAAAAATAACAGTAATTTTTAATCTGACAAATTTTAATTAAGAATTAAATTTACTCTTCAATTGCAACAGTTCATTTCTTGTATTTTTGAAACATTTATAATATTCTTTCTCAAAATTAAAAATAAATCATGCAACAAAGGATTCGGGATGAATTTCTTCAGAAAAATACGCAATCTCAATCTCTGCAAATGGCAGAAAAAGTAGACCAGTGTTCCAACGTCAAACTAAATCATAATATCCATTCAACCCACCTATCTGTTAAAGACCATTTAAAAAGTTCTAAAGGAAAGTGGGGGCCGGGTTCTCGCACACCGTACTTTCGATTAATTCACGTATAACGAACGTTATAAGCCATAAGTTATAATCCGAGAGACAGATTCCGGGGCCTTCTGGTCTGATTCTAAGCCGAAGCTTGCTTCTCCCAGCGGGTGGTTTAGGAGTACGGCCAGACCGCACGCGGCGAAGTGAACCGAGTTTACAATAAGGAGTCTACGTCTACCACCTCTTTCCTTTTCCACTTTGTCCCTCGCTTCTTCCTTGAACCGTCACACACCGTTTCGCTTTTCTTCTCGATAACTCGTCCATCCGTAACACGAAACTCTGCTATCTGAAGATAGTTAACCGGGAGCGTACACAACTATACCCCTATAATTTAATAGGGGTTTCATCTTGGATCGATAACGCACTTCGTCGAGCATTATTCGGAAAACTTCTAAAGAAGAAAACTTTTTGTTGAAGTTTTTAAAAGGCTTCTGAACATTAATTAAGTATGTCTTGATTAACTCTCAAGAGTTTGAAAGGTTGTATCATCCATCCGTGATTTTTATCTGTTTTATTAAACGATAACTGTCATTTGAAAATCGATCATTCCGTAGTTTATGTTGTATAGAACGATGAAACGTTTATTAAGTAAAAAAAGGAAATGGAAAATCGCAATAAATTTTCGGTTTCATAAAACGAGCATAGAAGGGGAAACGCAATATATTGGAAATTACTCTTTTTCGTCCGCTTGAAGGTGATCCACCTCGTCGATTCAATTAATTAAATTTTATATTTTAGTTATTTCCTGTTTTATACAGAAATTCCTTCCTCGAGCATATTATTTTTCACAGGGCAATAACTCGCGGTTTCTTTATTAAAACTTATAAATAAAATATTCTTGACGCTCCGAGAAGAGGTAGAAATAATTTGACGTCGCATCGATCAGGTAATTTTCGAGCGTAAGAAGGTTCTTGGACTGTTGCCCAGTCCTAACAAACCCCGTATGCTTCCTTGTACTCCTCTTCAAGGATTCTTGTCTCATTCTTTTCCGAGGAACGACAAAACCCTAACAGAATCACGTAGGCGAGTCGAGGATCGCCCACGTGGTTCACGAAATTCTGCAAGTCCATCGTATTCTTTTTTTCTTTTTCCTGAGATTTACACTCCTGACAAACAACGATGAACTCGTTATCCCACGAATTTCGTGTTACTCGCACGTTGGATTACAATCGTGTTTATGTCTGGTCGCAATTAACTTACGTGCGATGAAAATGTTGGAATTCAGCTGAACAAAATCCTTGGATAACTATCAAATTCCCCCGGTAATTTCTTCTTTTTCTAAAGAAATAGTTTCTAAAGAATAGTATCATCGAAAATCTCCTTCCTTTATCACCGCGAAATCCCAGTAGTAACGTCTTTTCCCAGAACACCAACATTGTTCCTCGTTCCTTGAATATCCGTGCAACGCGCTCTTTTAATCCGGGATTTCTTTCGAACGCTTCCATGAGCCCAATTAGACTCATTCGGTCCGAGTTGAAAACGCGGTCTGCCGGTTATTCTTCGTTTAACTCGAACACGATGCTTTTGCTTCCCCGAACAGGGGTTGCTTGTGACGAGCCCGCGATAAAAGTGCTCGCCGTTACGGCGATAGTCACGAGCTGAAGAAACGAGCCGTCCACGGATGGGAGGCTTGAATGATACAAGGTGTGAAGTTACACGTCGACGAGGAGGGACGAGTTCACGAAGAGGGAAGGTGGAGAGACTATTTATGTGTCTGAGTCGGCTTTGGTCTCGGGTTCTCGAGCAGGATGGACGAGTGGATAGGTAGATACGTTTATTAAGTGGAAAGAGAAAGACGGATAACAGTGGATTGTGGAAGATGGAGAGAAAGGGTAGAATCAAGGTAAGAAAGGGGTGGGTGAAAAGAAAAAAAAGACAAAGAGCTGTTCGAGGTGAGAGTTATTCCAGTAAATTATTATTCGTTTCGTTAGAGGGATACTGTTTCCATCGTTATTCTCGAATCCTTCTTTATTTGCGTTTATTCAGGATTTTTTATTAGGTTTTTGAGGATTCGGTCCTATTTACGATTTGTGGTGGTATCTTATTGTTATTATTATTTAAGAGTGTAGTGATTTTATTGCAGTATAATTAATTTTGGGAGAGCCTAAGAAGAATTTAAGGACAATCTAGAGAAAGTTAGAACCTAGGGAAAACTCCTACAAAGCTCAATAACAACTTAACATAGAATTTCTTGTCTTCACAAACAAAGAAACCTAAGCTGCCCAAAACTGTACATGTACACGTTAGTGCAAAGTAGGCTCTCTTTTAACTAAAGATCAAAGTACAAAGAGGCACTTCCTACCATTTGCTTTTAAATCTAAAAGAGAATCTAGGAAAAACCCAACGTTAGTAAAAATCTCTTAACACGGATTCTTGGCTTAAGTCAGATTAATTGACAGTTACTCGTCGTTCTCGTTCGCTGACGGTTCCCTTCTTCCTTTTAACACGTGCGTGAAAGGTGAATTGACGAGGAACCGGTTAATGGACAGGATACTACAGCGTCTACACTTGGTACGTTAACTCTTGAGAAATCACTCGGAGCTGCGACAACGAACATTCGCACCTCGGCTATCCTTACTGTATCTACTTGTTCGCATCTAACTGTTACATTAAACCGGAAGTCTTACATCTCGGAGATATATAGGTACATTAGACTTGGAGAGAAAGAATCTTTTATCGAACAAGCAAAGTGTAAATGTTTCATCGATCTTTCTGAAAATATGTTAAAATTTATGAACGAATCTTCAAAATCTAACGAAACCACTTGTAGCTGGTAACATAGGGTAAAAAATTAGTTGATAAATGCAACTTTATTAGAAATATCAATCTCGAATTACAGAAATAAATAAATCACGAAAAAAATGATTACAGAACAAAGAGGGTGAACAGTGTACTCTCACATGTATCTTTTATGCACGCGTGCCATTTCGATGTCAGTGACCACCGTGCTCGCCCGTCAGTTTGACTACCACGGTTAATGTGCCCGGCAAAAAGGGATAAAACGAGGTCTTCAAGAAGGGGTGGATAACGAAGGGGAACGGTGAAGAGGGATCGAGATAGAGATATCCCTGCAGCTGCAACGGTAGATGATCATCGCTGCGTTTGTGCCACGCGAACGGATTGATATGTAAACGTTTGCAAATGCTATTACGAGCGATTAAACGGTAGAAAACGGGAGGCGGGTTCTTTCTTTTGTGTTCAACTCCAACTGAAATGCGCGAACCAGTGTATGCTCCGTTTTGAATGCCAGGAAACGAGGTGCATCAGCGAACAATGCATTCATTTGCGGAAACGCAAGTTCCTATGAAAATTAAAAAAAGGCTACTCGTTTCACGCGCGGAATAATATCGTATATTATAACAAAATATACTCGGTGTTCCAACATATTTTTGGTCAAAGCTCGTTGGTATATTCTATTAATAATAAAAATGAAAAGAAAATTTTAATGTAGATAGGTGTTTGTAGATATTTCATTAAGTTTCTGATATTAATCTTATAGTGGTGCTCTCCGAGGAAAATCCACAACATTCTCTCAAATTCTTACTCAACTATTTATTCCGGTTATATTATCCCCCGACCGCGTTCTAACTACCCCACGTCTAGGTTAATCTCGATTGGCTTCCTCTTCTCTAATAGTGCAATGTAAACTTATAGTCCCAAAACTTTCTAGACTGATTCGGTAAAAACATACGATTCTCTGTATAAACTCTTACAATTCCACGCGCGAAGAATTAACACAAACACTAATTAGTTTAATTCATATGAAAATTAAAAAAATTAAAATGGACTGCTTTAATAATAAAAGGTAGGGGAAAATGCATTCCACACTGTGATAAATACACAATGACTTATACTGGTGTATGAATGGATCATAAATATACTGCGTTAACTGCCTCACATGTATCATCGCGACAATTTACCGGCTTTGTATTTCCGCGATATTAGTAGTGTCGTCCATTTCCGAAATTCCGCGAACGCTTCCATAGAAGTTCGAATTTGCAATTAGACGAGCGACGGTCACGGTTCTCCCTCTCTTCAACCCCTGTGCTCGACCCAAGCAGTTATGCTGATTGCTTGCCACCGGGAACAAGTTACAGGTTTCGGAATAATTTTGCGGAAGCGATAAAATGTCCGCAGAAGCAACCGGGTATCAGCGTCACTTCGTGAATTTCAGGGAAATCCGTGATACTGGTGGCTGTATACATTGCGGCTACGCGCGATACCAGAGAGTTGTCGAATATGTAATCGTCACCTAAAGACCGATTTATATGATCCTTTCAACAAATTACATTTCCATAACACAGTGTACTTTACCGGTCTAAAGTTTGGCTATACGCGTTACACAGAAAAATATTCTTACATTCTCTTGTTACAAAGATTCGTGGAAAATAAAAATTCAATTTATGAAATCGTAGCCATTTTTCTGAAACTTTCAGCTTTAAATCGACACATCGTAAGTGGTATTTCGTGACACTTTTATGTCATGAAATCATGACTGAATTTCTATGTTTCGAAATTCACCATTTGATATGCATAGTATCAGGCGGTAATTGTAGGTAGTCATTTATGTAAGTACATGCCTACGTGTGTTTCCATATAATTCAATGCGATATGATAATTCAGCGAATTATGGAATCCCTAAAATACAAACGGCTGACAGAATATCAGCTACGTGATTTTCGACGGACACTCGCGGAACCTAATTAACCCGTCGCGAATGACCGCCATCGATCTCGCTGGAAAATTCAATTATATCTGCATCTCTCCTCCAGTTGGATAGTAGTCTCGACGTGTACGGAAAATCTGTGAATTGGCTCGTCGACCTGCATTCATCGGTAAATCAATTACCCATCGATTATGAATAGCTTTCTACTCACTTAGAATGAAGCGCTATCGAATTACAAGTTACACTTTTAATCGGTTTCTTTGATTTTCCGCAAAATCCAAGTGCCACTTCCCAACATTTATTCAAATAGATACAGGTTTATATATTTTACGTGATTTTCTCTCGTATCAATGCAGGTTTTAACTTCTCGTCGCCGAGGAACGTATAAACGTTCTCAAAAATTTCTACTTTCGTTTGCATAATAAGTATTACATAATTTCTTGTATGTCCCCTATGTTACAGATCAGTGATTTAATACAAATGATTTATGTTAATGCGTTTATATAATCATTGCTTTGCATAGAGGGTTAATTTCGAATTTTATAATGGACCATGTACTTCAGGTTGAAGGAAAGAATTTTTACAAAAATTTCTCTATAAAGGAAACGTTACACGATGTCTGATAAACGTCGAATCGTTTATCAGTCGTGAAATCGCGGTCAGTACTCCGTTCAAACGTGTTCACGGCTCGACGGGTTGGGCATACGTAGCGAAAATTTGATTTCAACCAGGCAAATAGCAATAAACGGAAATCGAAGCGTATCATAGGTCGTGTCGCAATTGTGATCACGAATATGAAGCCAAATCATGGCCTTATGAATCTTTCGTTAATATTATCAGTTCATTCCGCTGCTAAATTTTGTGCTACTGTATTAGGAATTTTAACAAGATAATTATGTACCATTTATTAGAAGAGATGGAAATATCGGAAGGTACAAGTTTGGTGATGGTTTAGAAGTTTAGGAGTGGAGGTTGAAGTCTCGAAGACGAGAGACTCTTCAACATCTCTCACCAGTCGAGATATTAGGTTTCTAACTAAACTTGCGATCTCGAAACTAAAATTTCTGTGCAAATTCGAGCACTGAAAAACGAGAAAAATTTTCACTAATGATGTTTATTTCTTGAAGAAAAAATTTACTCCCATGACAAAAACTAGAAGTAATTGAAAATGTGTTCTTTTGAGATTCATTTTATAATAAAGTTTCACTGCAGACAGGAATGCAGCTGTTGAATCAATGACTGAAATGTCTACTGTTGATTAGCTTTTTGTATCGCAACCCCCGTTTTCCTGCCCACGACCTTGAAATATAATGAAGAGCCAGGGGTTACTCACCCTTGGTCATCAATTTTGGAAGCTGTGGGTTCGTGAAGCGTCAATCGCTATTGAAAACGACCATCGAGGCACTGGAAACGTATCTGATCAATAGAAACGTGGTTGTTTCGTGACAAAGTCGATTGGGAACGATGTAGTGTGATCGTAAATTTGGTAATCAAATGGTGGCACCAATTCGTTCAACAGGATCCAAGCCTGTACAAGGCATTTCAAAGTCGTAAAATACTATACGAAGGGTGTACTAAAATTTTTTATACAGATATAAAAATAAGTAAACAAATTCTCCCTTTAATTCAAATTTTTCCTTTGCTTTGATTTCTAATTGATAATCCTAATCAGCTTTGATTATAATCAATCTTCAGCAATGAAAGAGTGAACAATTTTCGAATTAAATTTAAAAAAAAGTATATCAATTACCATAGAAGCGAACAGGTTCGAAAACGAAGCCGCATAAATTCGCGAGCACCATTTGTGCGAATGATTTACGCTGGAAGATTAACGATTCATCCTTTCATTCAACACCGACGAAAAACTAACGATTCATAGTCCCCCTGTGCCCACGGGATTCGCAATTCCCAATACACCCCAGTTACGTTATTTTTCTCGTCGGACTGGTTCGCGATTGAGAGAGAAAAAATAGGGGGATAAAAAGAATTGAACGCGTTATGTTAGGTGTAACAGAAGGGTAGTTCAGTACGGTCGGATCTGTTTGCAAAGAAAATAAGTGATGCAGGTATGCGGTATACACTGGTTCGCGCCTACGTCAAACAGCATAATTATTCGTCCAAGTTTATGAACCCACGGGTATAATAGAGCAATTATCTCCGATAGGATATGCAAGTAG